GCGCGCCGGGCGGTCAGATCGGCTCTGTGACCTATTCGACTGGGAGGAAAAGTGGCCCGAGGTCCGAGGAAGGGGAGGCAAAGGCAATACAAGCCAGAGGCAGCCAGAGGGAAGGGGGTCACACTCGCACTCGCTCGCACTGCGAACACAGCCATGTAATATACATACTTGCAGCCCTGCCAGCCCGGCCAGCTCGGCCGCCTGGAGAAAGAGGGAAGGCAACCGCGCCGCACCACCGCGGGGGTCGCCCCGTCAGCCCCGTCAGCCCCGTCCCGCCGCCTGGCTGCCGTGGCTGCCTACCCGCCAGGGGGAAGCCGCGGTTTCCATGGTTACCGCGCAGGGCTCTTCCTTTGGGTGCGGAGACGGGCGAGCCGGGCTGGGTGGGCCGGGCAGGCCGCCGAAAACGCGCGACGCGTTTTGCTCGTGGTTGGCCGAGACTTCACGGGAGTTTCCTCGTTTTGTGTAGTGAAGCAACCCGTGTGCCACACCGCGCCGAGCCCCGCCCCTCCCCTCCCCTCCGCGGCGCAGGGTTCTGATGCGGCTCTTTCGCAAGGCGAGAGGTGAGTTGACTGCTCGGCGGCGCGGCGAGGCTCGCTCGGCCCTACCGTGAGGCAACCGCGGCAACCGCCACCGGTCAACCCGCCGCCAACGGCCAGAGTCCTCGGACCGGGACCACCGAGACCACCGCGACGACGAGCAGGACGGGCAGGACGGGCAGCGCACCGTGACCTCTCACTGCCGATGGCGCCCGGCGCCACCCGCTGCCTTTCTCGCACCCCCACGGGACGCCCCACGGGGCGCTCGACGCACTCCGGCAGGACGCTCTGCGGGCCTGGACGTGACCGTCTCGGCGAAGGCCAAGGCACACTTGTTGGCCGCAGTGACCACGCTCTAGTTCCGTTCGCACAGTTTGCTTACCGTGGCATCAACCCGGCAGGTGCAGATTTCAGGGGAGGGGCAATCTGTCCTCAGCCAGGATAATGAGGTGCCTGGTCCGCCTGATCCGCCCCTGGACCCTGGATCCGCACCTGGGCGGCCGGCGCTCGCGGCGCGCGGGTCGCGAGTGTGAATAGGGACGCGGGGCTGCACCAGGCTGCACCTGCCGCGGCGTGCCGTTGCCGTCCAGAAGCCCGTCCTGACCTCTTGCACATCTTCGTCGTCCTCGTCCACGCCAAGTAGTGTTTCCACTGTACGCCACGTAACACCGAGCTAAATAGTTTACTGCCTTTTTTACGGCGAGGCTCTCCGAGAACTCACACTTAAGGGCGGCGTCGATGCCCGGCCGCCGTCGGCCTGCCGTGGAGGCGCGGAGGCGTGCCGGGCCGCAACGCCGTGGGAAGTATATCATTTCTATTTTACGCCGCCAATAAGCCCCTCGGCTGGGCCTCGGACTGCAGTCTGATTCTGTCGCTCTGTCTCTCTCGCATCCCGACGAAGCGCCCAAGAGAGAGCGGCGACGCGCTGTCCGGCCGGAACCCACCGGCCGCCACCGGCAGGAGGGCCTCGGACTTCCCTCTCCGCGAACAGGACATCACCGCCGTGAAAAGGCGCAGCCTTGATTTTGCCTTTCCGCGCGGCGCGGGCCTCGGGGTAGCTACAGCTACACATGGCCAGCTATGGCTCGGTTATTCAATATTCAACTCGAATTACGTAAAGCACCGAGCGGCACGGCACGGCCAAGCATGGCGGCCCGAGGAGCAAGCGCACGACGACCCGAACCGACCGACCGGCCGGCCAGGCCGCCGCCAGGCCGAGACTCCAGCCCAGCCGAGCAGCAGGCGGCCGCGCCGAGCCTGTGCGCCATGCCGTGCCTGCCGCATCGCCGTGCCGCATCGCCGTGCCGCATCGCCGTGCCGCACTGTGCGGTGAGTCCTGATGAGCGCCGCTCTCGTCACTGCAGACTCACTCTGAGCGGGAGGCCTGTGCCGCTCTCACTCGCACTCATGGAGCGCCCCGTATGGGTGCGAGAGAGACAGGGCGACGGCTCGGAAACAGCTTGCTGCTCGTCGCCACGCCACCCCGTCGTTGCACAAATGCGCCTTCTGCAGGAGTCTCTCCTTGTCACACCTGCAGACTGATTCCGAGACTCGTTTTCGTTACTCTGTCTTTCTCTCGTACCTCTGCTCGAGGTGCGAGAGAAAGACAGCGACGAAACCGAGTCTCGGAGTCAGACTGCCGCAGCGCCGTCGCTGTGCGCTACCGCCCGGCGGGTAGGCACACCCAACGCACCGCTGCGTGGCGGCTGCCTACCCTGGCTCGTCAGGCGCTAGGCTCGTGTGGCAGCGCGCGCCGCACGCCGCAGTCCGCGTCCCGTGCGTCCGGCGTCCGCCGGCGGGAACAGCGACTGCCTGTCGTTGGGACCGAAGCTCGGCGCCGCACGCTCACCCAGTGCACTGCGGCTGCGGCACTGCACTCGGCTGCGGTGCACTTTTGACATTTGTTGTCGTTCCACCCGGTTCCACCGCCGAGCACGGGCTTTGCCTGGGCTTTGCCTGGGCTTTGCCTGGGCTTTGCCGAGGCGGTGCTGGCCGGCCACGCGGCCATCTGCAGGCTGGCTCCGGACAGGGCCTTCGTCGCTCTCTCGCTGTCTGCTAGGGTGCGAGAGAGACGCAGCACTGTTCGGAATGAGCCTGCTGGCAGGGGCCATGCAGGAGCGGTCCCGGGGGCCGTCATGGGGCACGGCGGTCCCGGCTGTCCTGGCGCACAAGTAGTGGCGTGGCGTGAACCGGGCCTAGATGGACGGACCCTCGCTGCACAGGCCGCGGCGTGGCGGGGCGTGGCGCCGGGAGGCGATGTGGCTCCGCGTCATGGCCCCGCGCACCGACACCGGCCGCAGAGTTCGCGGCCCGGCCGGAAATTATGGGCAGTCGTCGTCTTCACCGTGGAGTCGGTAGTGAAACTGACTGCGGCTGAGTAGTGGTCTCGTCGTTCAGTCTCTGTCGCACTTTTCCGGAACGCCCCGCGACAGAGAGAGAAAGAGAAGGCGACGGAGCACTGCCGGTCGGCAGCGCATGGGCAGTGCTGCCGACGTGATCAAGGGCCTCGTTGACACGCTGGACACGTCCTTAGTGGCAATGAAGGCAGCAAAGGACCCTTTAAGGGACCCTTTAAGGGACCCTTTAAGGGACCCTTTAAGGGACCCTTTAAGGGACCCTTTAAGGGACCTTTAAGGGACCCTTTAAGGGACCCTCTAAGGGACCCGACCGACCGACCGCTTTCTCGGAGTGGGGGCGGAGGGCGGATCGAAGAGGTCCGCCGGGGTTTTGGACGGCCCCCGGCCGCGCCGCAAGTGGCACAGCGCCCACACACCAACGCACACGCGCGGCGCGCACGGGCACTACTAGATCAAGCCTCGGCGAGGTAAAGGTAAAGTGCCTGCAGCGACACGACAGGACGTCCAGCTGCGCCGCTTGTTGCCCAATACATCTAAACCGGTACCAGTCGTTATGTGGATCGGACTTTGTAGTGACGCGCCGTCACGAGCTACACTCGGCTACACTCGGCTACACTCGGCGCCGCCCCGAAATGCCCGGCAGCGAGCCGCGCTGTGGCCGCGCCACGGAGCAGCGGCCGCGCTGTGGCCGCGCTAGCTCGACCCCGGCCCAGGCAGTGCGACATTCGCCGATACAGGCGACCCAAAAGTCTGATTCTCAAGAGTGCTTCGTTGCTCTTTCTCCCTCGCACCCTCACTCGTGACGTCCAAGTGCGCGGGAGACACAGATTCAGAATCAGGCTGCAGCGGCCGCGACACGCGGAGATCCGGCAGAGATCACTCCTGGAACCCAGGGCCGTGCCACTCTGCGTTACTGCAGGACGCTCTCGTCCACGCACGCACGATCACACACGCACACGCACGCACGGCACGCGCGTGGTCGCCACTATAATTTGTGTACCGAAGCGAGTTACATCACGGCGTGAAATACTGCCCAGCCCCCGGCCCTAATGGATGGGTCCAGAGGATAGAAGGCCAGAGGGCCCCGAGCGCCGAGCCACTACACTACAATCCTGACTTACTGACCTATGACCGCCTTACCGACCAGTCTGTGTGCCACCGTCCCGGGCCCGCCGAAAAACTTCATTCTTCAATATTAGAATTGCCCACCACCCTTCGCCCCACAGACGCAAGAAAAAAGGACACAGCACGGTGGTCGAGCACGGTTGCATCCTGTAGTAGTGCATGTCAGTGCATTGGAATCGATTCCACACACGCAGAGCGCCAGCAAGCTCGATAAGGTCGAGACATGGTCGAGACGGTGGAGCAGGTGACCGAAGGGTTGCCGGCACGACGGGCGTAGCTGCGTAGCAAGTTCAACTGCGCACCTGAAGGACCGTAGCGCGCCACAATTCAAAGCACCACGCCCTTGGCGCCCTTTTTGCAGCCTTATCTCGAGGGTCCATAGTTGGCAGAATTCTTTGGCAGAAACAAGAGGTTGCGTTGTGAAATATTAGGTAGAAAGAAGAAATAAAAATATCGAGTTAAACCAGATACAATAAACGAGTTAATTGTAGGATCATCTGATGAGGTTTTTTAGCACCAACGTTTGAAATTTTAAATTTTAAATACAAAATGATTAAATGGAAAACAACAACAAATCTCTGCGACACAAAGTGTGTATTTTTAATACTTTTTTCAAATATTCACTCGTTTTGTTTAAGGTTTGTTTTCATTTGTTTCTTTATAGTACACCTTTTCAGATTTGTCACGTTGGTAGCTCTTGCTCCTTTCCAATGTTTTGTACTGTTATTCTTTTTTTTCTTCTGCTGAAGTCCGCCAAAAATGAAAGGAGAGTGTGACATGAAATATTCGGAAATGAAGGAAAATTTGCCAAATCGCGAAGAACTGGTGGTGGAACCTGAGTGGTAAGTGTTTCTTCGAGATGTTTTATCTTCATGTTTCGGACTTAGATGTGAAATTAATGGAAGGTAAAGTACAAAGTGGTGTGTTCTACCGGCATGTGTGTACGTGGTGTTCGCGGCAAAATAATTTCATCTCAGAGTTATCGTAGATTTATTCTCGGGGCTCCTGTCGATTTGGGTCTTTCCTGGTTGCCTGATAATCTGATTAAAGTACAGTGTGTTTTTATGTCAATATTATGGAGTCTGGCCCCTTTTGAGTTCAAATTCAACCCTTTTCTGCACTCACCCAACCTACCTGTTTTCACTTTGTGAAGATTACATTTTATTTTTATCTTCCTATCCACAAATTTTTATGGACAGTTTGTAAGTCTGCATCTCAATTTTCATATCATCTTTATGGAATATATGTAATGTACTATCTACCGTCGGTCTATTTCAGTTTTATCTAATTCCATCTAACCCTATTGTCTCTTTGGCCACCTGTTGGTTTTATACACTCTTTAAAGCTGCAGGTGTTCCATGAGAAACATAATGAATGTCTCATTTTCTTATATTGATTGTTTTTGTTTTTCATTATTATAGTAAGCGTATGAAACCAGACGTGCTCATGGAGATGGGTTTAGCTATGCTAGAAGATGAGGATGAGCCATTATCTGCAGGCGATTCACAGGTAAGTCAAGATTTGTTATGATCATCTTATCTAGACCTTTCTAGCTTTCTATCAATGAGTATTATGGTTTTCTATTGCTCTGTTTGTACTTGATGGTTTATGTTGATTGCAGACCATGGTTTCAATGCGCAGTCCATACAACAATACTGAAACCAAACTGCTGAGTAGGGTCAATGAAGATATCAATACTTTCAACGATCCATTTGGAGATAATTTCATGATGTTCAGGAGACAGAAATCCAATGGTCGCACAGGAGAAGGTACTTGCTTTGTTGCCATTAGTATTACTTTCATATTTAATTCTTTAATAATTCCTTATTTACAATGTTTTGTATGTTTCATTCCAGATCATTTCAGAACATTGTCGGATGAAATGGTGCTGAGTGTTTTCAGATGGCTCCCTAAAAAGACTTTAAAGCAATGTGCTTTAGTTTGTCGAAGATGGCGTAACATTGCTCGTGATGAAGAGTTGTGGACGCGTTTGGATCTTGGATTCAAAACACTTTGTCCAGGGAACTTGGGAGACATAATTAAAAGTGGTGTTCGGATTTTGCGCCTAGCCCAAGCTGATGTCAGTGTTCTTTGTCTCTCTTCTTCTAGCAAAGCAATTTATCTCTGATCCTCTTTAATTCATTATTTCCTGTTGTAGATTCCAGAACCTGCTTTTGAGCCCAACACTTTCCCAGATGATTATGTCAGCAGACTACAATTCTTGGACCTTAGTATGGCTGTCATTTCTCATCAAGGCAAGTCTTTATTGTTGAATGGAGATTAATGAATCCATGCTTAGAGTGCTTGTAAACTGTATACTGAGACAATGCTCTCTTTTTTTGTTTTCAAAGGATTGAAAGCTTTGTTGAAGAGAACAAAGCATCTGATTAAACTCAGCTTGGAACACTGTGTCGTTAGTGATGAAGTATGTGATGCAATTGCACAAAACACTCAATTGGAAGTTCTGAATATGACCATGGTGTATGCCTTGTCACCAAATGGCTTGAGAACAATTATAACGAATTGCAGGCGGTGAGTGTCATCAACCATGCATCCTTTTTTCAGTGAGATTCCAGTTGCTAACTTTTAGGGTTTTCAGGCTGGTTGCTTTAAACTTGGGGTGGAGTGGTTTGACTGTTGAGGCACTTGATGTCCTTATGTCTTGTTTACCTCCAAATATCAGTCAGTTAAATTTGAGTGGGTGCCGTCAACAGTTTTTAGATAGACGTAAGTATATTTTTATAAATATTTTGTTTTAAACAGTTTGTTAAATGTGGACAAAGTGTAAAATAGAGCTTTTCCATCAGATGTCTTTCAACTTGTAAGAGGTTGCCCTAAGCTCATGGAGCTTGATATAAGCGATGCTAACGATATATCACCATCAACCATTGATATACTCTGTCAGTTTAAGAACTTGGAACATCTCTCCATTAGTCGCTGCTATCACATATTCAATCCCAGTTGCCCTCAGAATGTGCTGTAAGTATTGCCAGATCTTAAATTTATTCTTTCCTTTACCCGGAAAGGGATCTGATGTTAATGCTTTCTATATCCTACAGAAAACTTGGCACAATACCGTCCTTAAGATTTTTGGATCTGTTTGGGCTGGAGAAGTACATACCAAATTTAGTGCTCAGCTTACCAAGTATAGAGATCAACAAATTTGAATTTTCCAGCATTGCAAGACCCACTGTTGGCATAAGAAGAACAAGCATTTGGGGTTTGAGGGTTCGAGACTAATGGCTACTCTTTGCATTCCTTTGTAAACATTTTCATCTTATTTCAGATGTTTTTATTTTTAAAAGACCAATTTCTTCATTTTCTAGTTTAGTGTAGCATTTGGGTTTGTTTTTGCTTTAATGGTGGCTGACTTAGAGAATTAGTTCAGGGGCTGACAATCTTGGGGAAATGATAAGTGTGTTCATCTTGAATGTGCAAGAAGAACCTCCTGTCTGCATCTGGAAATTATTTATATCTTTTCAGTTTGCAGGTATGAATTACTACCACTGGAGTGGTACTTGTTAGTTGTTGCACTGTAACTTTCTTTGTTGTCTGCTCCTCTGATTCTTTTTTGAACCTAGTTCAAAGATTTCTCGTTGTGCACAAATCAAGTTTTCAAATCATTTTCTACATCAATTACAGCATTTTTCTTTAAAGAGAAATTATAAATATTTTGCATTATTTTAATTTTATGTCATTTTTGTTGCATGTACTGTTTGTATGGCAACTTAGTACTCTAAACGAGTATAAACTCTTTTCATTGTTCTTTTTTTTTTCTCATTTAATGTTGACTGATATTAGTTTTTAATTAGTCATTATTTTGCACAATGTGCATCTGGTCCTCCTTGAGGAAATCTCAATGTGCCTTATTGATGGAGAGTACACAATTACTTTCCAGTCTATTGTGATTTTAAGAACAGATCTCATTCCATATGGATGCACTTCGGAGCATGATAATGAAGTTTTCGCAACTTTCATTGGAAGAAGGAAAGAAAATTAGTGATAGTTGGAATATTGTTCCTGAGCAATGCTTGAAATGTGAGATGAACTGTATATAGACGTGGTGATCTTTGCCAGTTTAATTTTTGTGTTTGTTGCAGCCTTAATTCAGTCCAGTATTTAATTGTCATCACTCTCATGGACTGATGTGTTTGCAAGTCACTTTCTAACATGTATCCAACTGTTGTTCAAAAGATTCAAGTGAGATAGTTTTAAGGATGGTGCTGCATGTGCAAACGCTGCTATGAATTTTTTCTGAAAGTATTGTTTGAATATTGTTTCTGTTCATATGTAAACACCACTATAGTGATCATGATGTCTTCACAGAGAAGCAGATTGATCACTATGGTGGGGTTTACATCAAATCTCTACTATCTCCATTACATTGTGATATGTAAGCCTCTTTGCAGGCATTTTCACTGCCATGTATAATAAAATGTTGATGTGTTAATTTGTCCTTATTTTCCTTCTGATTGGCTATGCAATTATTCAAGGTAGCTGTGTCAAAATAATTTTCAAGTAGGTATATGATGATTTATTGGCTGCAAGGCTGACAATAGAGGAAATTCATACAAATATTTTTTTAAGATGAGGAATAATTTGTAATTTATACATTAATTACATTGAATGGGACAAGCACTGTTGATTCACACCAACAATCCATGAAATAGAAAACAAGTTACATTAGCTGTTATAAAAAGAAAACAAAAAAAAAAACAAGAATACAAGCACCAGATAGTTTAGTTGTTAATAGGTTGAGATTTGGACCAATCTACGTTGAGGATTAAATGATCATAACCATGGCCATTGAGTCCAACAATGGCAGCACTGGCATCTTGTCTATATCTGAAGTGCACGTAGGCAAAGCCCTTGCAGTTTCCAGTAACTTTATCTTTTGCCAAAAATATTTTGCTGATGGGGCCAAAGGTTTTGACCAATTCCTCAAGATCACTTTCAACAACGCTTTCTGATAAATTAGAAATCCTGATGGCCAGTGTGTCATCTCGTTTCATGTTCATGGACTCTCCCCGTTTATTGGCACCCTCCCTCAAGCTGGGTGGGATGTACTTAGATTGAGGCGCTGCTGCCTTATCACCCATAGCACCAGGAACGCCGATGGGTTTCTTATCCATGTTAACCTTGGCTAAAGCATCAGAGCCCTTGTAAGGGCACTTGGAGGTCCAATGCTCTCCATTGCACGTTCGGCACTTAACAGCACCCTTCTCAGGATTAGCTTTTAACTTCTCCAAAGCATCTTCTTCCATTTTCAGATTTTCCTCCTCTTTAGCAGACAGGAAGTGCATATACACATCTTCTGAAACAATGGTTGTTGCGGGGTCTGGTCCAGGTTTGTCATCCTTGGAAGCTCCAAATTTGGGCCATGTCTTGCGTGCAGCAATAGACTTGGAGACTGTCCTCTTCTCAATTTTGTAAGTACGAACAATTTTTACCTTCTTGTCATCATCATTGAATTTATATTCGGTGACAATTTTAAATCCATTCTCAAAGACTTCTGTACTTGGAGGAAGAGGTCCTTTGTTGGATTCATCTTCAACTTCATCAGCCCAACTGGACTTCACTGTCTCTGCAGGCATGGTTCTGTCAGGACAAAAGAAAAGGCAAAGAAACTTAATAATGTACTGCTGGGGTTATTGACAAGGGGGAAACAAATCCAGTTAATCTGTTCGAAGGGGAACGAAGGAACGAAAGATGAGTCTTTCTTCCACAGAATCCTTCAATAATGATCATTTCTGAAGAGTTAAATATCCTCACTTGTTCAAAACTTAATAGTGAGGAGCCAAGGTGTCACTGGAACATATGCTCCAAGACTGGCACTCTTCAATAAAGACCTTCACATCAGTGAATTGCAACAATTGCACAGAGACGCATCAAGGCTCAATCCAGTTGGATCCTGACTAGTTCTGCCTCCTAGAATCTGTCATCACTCAATAGTGTTGTTACTATCCATTAGGAATAGTTTGGAAATAGCTCTAATCAAAAAGAGTGATATCGAAAGCCCGGAATACGAACACCATCCACTAATTAATTTAATAAATTTCACAAATAAAAGTAACCATTCAATTGGGTTTATGCCGACAAGAGAATGATTGAGGTTAGGAGCTTCAGTGTCAATCTCTAACATCACAAACAACTTCGACAAACTCTTTGAAATACGTGAATTTCAAATCTTAAAATTGCAATGAAAGACACTGATGGCTTTTAACGGGCCCTGCCATAAAGAAATAGATACCCGCAAGAGAGAGCTTGGAGCAACGTGTGAGAAATGACCTGCAACAGCTAGTCAATAGGGAAAAACTCCACAACTACTTCCTTTAATGCGGACACGCTAACACAGAAGGGAAAAGAAACTTTTCGTCTCGTGATAGGTACTTTCTAACAACTTACCAAGGCTAATGAACTACAGGACACAACGAAATATGTTGCAATTTACTTCACGCACGTCACAAAAAAAGCCACAAGTACCGCCACAGCCTTGCCCAACAACTCGGACAAAGTTGGAGAGGTTATAAAGTTATAGTCAAAGGCGGTGCCTGCCAGGTTTGTTGTTGTTGTTGTTGTTGTTGTTGTTGTTACTGTTGTACTGTTGTTGTTTGTTTACATTGAGTGTTGGACTGAGAGTTCATTCATTCTTATTTTTTTATTTGATAATGCCTAAAAATCTAAGCTTTAGGTGTTGGGTTCCACATTGTATCAACAGTAGGAAAAGGACGCGAAAACCGAATTCACATTTCCATGCATTCCCTGTGAAAAATCCTGAGCGGTAAGTGTATGTCACAGGTATAGGCAGCTTTTCTTATTTTCTTGTATATGATTTCTTTGATCTTTACCAGCCTCTCAAGTGCTCTCAAGCAAATTATACAAATATGCCATACAGTAATTTTCAAGCTTTTAATGGCTTTGTTTTTTAACCATTGCTGTCACAATCATCGCAACTTTTTTCAAAACTAATCAGGATGCATTTTTTATTCAGGTGCAGACGGTGGCTTCAGGCTGTTGGCTATGAAGACCTCGTTTATTTGCCGTTACATTCACTTAGGATACGATATGTGTGCTCAGAACATTTTACAGATGAAGATTATGGGAAGCGTTCTGCCAATGCCAACCTCTTCTGTACTGCGATCCCATCCAAATTTCCTTCTGGGACTACTCCTCTCTCAGATGAAATACTAGCAGAATGGCCTCCAAAGTTGGCATCTGACCGAAAAAACTCACCTGAGATTGCAGTGAAGACAGAGGAAATCTCGCCAGCTTCACCCACTTCATCCAGCTCCTCTGACAAACTGCTGGCATCAGTTGTCTCAGCAGGAATTTTAGAGTCCAAAATGGATTCTACAGTTCACTCACCTTCAATAGTAATTTCAAATACCCCTACTGCAATTCAAGAACCTGTTAAATCTATTGAAGTGACTATGCACATGGAAAGTGGGGGAGCATCATTAGGTATGCCAGTTCAAACTAACCCCTCTGAAGAAAGACTTCTTCCTCTTCCCCAGGAACTTCTGATGAGTTACATCAAGGATAGTTCAGGTAAAAGAATGTTTTATTGCAAATGCTATTGTTAAAAGCTTTTGATTTGTCTTAATAATGATGGATTTATTTTATCTTATATTATTCATTGATTGAATAAATTGATTTCTCTTCCAGGAAAAGGGCTCCATGACGGTGATGTTTTGCTAGGCTTTGTCGTTCAAAGAGGCACCACTTTAGATATTGTTCCTGTCGGCCCTAACCACTCAGTAAGTAAAAATTGAGAAAATGTTGCACTTATTCTTCTTAGTAGCGAACGTGAAATACCCTTTAACAGCTGACTAAGTTTGTCTCTTCATATTTATTTTCAGATGGTGGTATCTTCTAATCATGAAGAAGCAACAAAATGTCCAGTTTCTTCTTCAAATGGTGTTGAAAATGTGAGGTGATCCAAGCACAAGTACTCCCTTATATCTGAGCCTAGAGAACTGCAGAGTATGAAATTTCCTTTTCAGAGTTTTCTTAAGTTTCAATTAATTTATTTATTTCTTGTTTTAAAAGACCACCTATTTTGTGACATTTCTGGTTGTTTCTGTATAGCCAATAGAAAAGTCTTTTTACTCGTATATTTGTGACAGCAAAGTGTATTTCCATACTTTCTGGCCATATCCTCATTGAAAATAAATCATTTACAGACCTGGACTCTACCGTCAATTTTTTCCTTGGGTAAGTGGCAGAAGGGTCCCAGGCGAGCGAGCGCGTCGATGGCATGCTGTCGGCAGCACCTCTACTATTACCCACCCGCCCGGAGGCCCCGGGCCCCGTCTGTACACCGTCTACACCGTCTCGCCGACCTTGATGCTGTCCCCTTATAGGCAGGTAACACAGCCTACTCAAGTAAACTGCGTGTTGCCTACTGCAACTGCATAGGCGGACCCTAGCCTCCGGCTAAATCCGCAGGTCCAAATCCCCCGAGTGCACAGGTTTACCCGCGTACCCGGTTATTACTCGGGAAACCGCTGTCTGGGTTTTAGAGAGCCCGAATGCAACAATACTATCTCTAATCATTTTCATGAATTGTTCCCTTGATAAGTTGGAAACGGGAATTAACAGACTTCAGTATAGGGCAATTACTATATTTTGTATTTACACATGTAAAATGCAAAGTATTTGGTAATACTGTGAAGTTTGAAAGCACAGTGAAGACAGTTTTGAGAGAAGCACAGCATTAAATTTGACATATCTACTGAAACAAATAAATATATGTAATATGAACAATTAAGGGAAAAAAAAGAATAGTGTTGGTGTCATTTGACAATAAATATTTCTCAGGCAGTGAAACTTTTCGAAGTTAAAAGAGTCAGTGTGAATCGTTTGGAATTCCCATAAGTTTGTTAAGAACCATTTGGGAAATTGCTTATTAATTACAGGGATTCAAATAAGCATAGACACAACTATTTGTGAAAACTATTTAAACTACTTCAGTGCCCAACATACACTCAAACTAACACAGCAGAAATGCAAGCAACTTCTGATCATTTGCAGTAAAAGTCAATGTTTTTGAAAGAAACAATGGCCTTATAGTCCCAAACAAAAGGTATTTGTTGGGAGGTGGGCTTCAATTAAGGCAACAGTAACAAAAACACAATTCCTGAAATAATAAATAATCTTCTCATGTGTGGAGTTGCTTTGGCTTTCACACCCTTAGATATTAACAAATGAATTAAGGTCATTATACCTATCATCACAGATCTTGGAACTATTCACAGCACTTCTCACTTGGGGCTTCTCAAATTACCTCCATTAGAAAAAAGTAACACTTTCACTATGCTTGAACATTATTTCACTACAATATTGTAAGTTGACTCATAGAAAAAGAACAGCATCAATCCTACAAAAAATGATAAAACTACATTTTTTCTAACTCTGTTTCATTGTCACTAATTGGGAGGAAAAAATTACAATACAGATTGTACTTTAGTCGTGACTTTGCAAAGTCAATGTCAATTTGTGTACCAAACTTCAAATAAAGACAACATCAAGTGTATCAAAAATGGCACAAATGTCTTCAAAAAATAACCTCAGCAATTGTAATAAGTTCTAAAAACTGTTTCCATAAGCATTTTCTGACGCACTTTGCAAAACATGAGTCATTAGAAATTGTATAACAAATGGAAAAAAAAAAGGAATTTTTAAACAATTAAACATAAGTTTTGCAAACAAATAATAATTACTATTATGATGGAACAGTACACATTACCACAAGAGGAGTTGGGGCTACTAGCTCGTGATGTCTTATCCAACTACATAATTTCAATAGCAAACATAAAAGTTAAAACTAAAGAAGCTTAAACCCTGTTCCAACTGACTTCTTGACGCGAGTATTCTGCTCCACAGAAGTCCTTTGAGTTGCGCAATTTTAAACAGGCAGTTGACAGGTCCTCCATTGTGATAGGACGAAGTGCATCATGGAATTCATCTTCTGATTCATTTGACGTATTTCTGAAACAAGAATACGAGTATATTATACAAGCCCAATTTCGCTCATATTTTATTCTTTTGCCAACGTACTTTAACACTGGACTGATGAATAATAAAAATAAATAGACAAATTCTATTCAAAATTTTAGGACTTATTACTTACGCTTTTTCTTTTTGACTGTTGTTCATGAAATCTTTCAACCTGTAGACTGATGCTGAGCGGCACAATTCCCTCAAATCTGATCCTGAGAACCCATCGGTGATTTCGGCCAGTCTATGTAGGTTGACATCATTTGCAATTGGTTCTGTCTTTAATATTATGTCAAGTATTTGTTGGCGCTGAACAGCATTCTGAAATCATTATTAAAGATTTGAAGATTTAAAGAAATACAATAAAGTAACGTATACAGTTATTTCAAAGTTAAAAGCGATCACCCGTACAGGCATCTCAATATGAAAGGAAGCTGGCATACGACGTAAAATAGCTCGATCCAAATCTTGTGGTCTGTTTGTGGTACCCATAACAATAACCGTGCATGATGGATCAGTAGTAAGACCATCCCACAGAGACATGAATTGTGCTTTTATCATGGCAGTTGCTTCATGATCAAATGAAGACCGATTACGCAGGAAAGAATCTACAAGCAGAGATAGGGTACAAGATGAGAGAAGCACTATGGCCATAGCCATCAAAAGTTGCATGGAATGGAATTTAAGTTGTTAGCTTTCACCTATTTCATCAATGAAGACAATACATGGTTGAAGTTTCACAGCCAGAGTAAACACAGCACAGGCAAGCTTCTGACTTTCTCCATACCACTTGTCAGTTAAACATGACATGTCCAAATTAATGAAATTACAGCCAGCTTCCCGAGCAATAGCTTTAGCTATCATAGTTTTACCACATCCTGGGGGCCCGTACAACAGTACTCCTACAAGGAACAAATCAGGAAAGCAATTAAAAACGCATTGCAGGAGGCAAACACTTCTTCAGTCGAGGTGACACCAATTAAAATGAGGAAAGAGAACTTGCTCACCCTTCGGGGCCCGAGTAAGGTGCGAATCAGCAAACAATTCTTTTTTCTGAATCGGCAGGATAACAGTTTCACGCAACTCTTGCAGAACATTATCCAAGCCAGCAATATGATCCCATGTAGTGGTAATATCACGAGGGTCTATCAGACCCTTAGCAATCATCAACTCATGTTGATTAAGCTGAAACAAAGCAATTGATAAATAATTGAAATGAATGAAAATGTCTACGAGGAAACTCGAGGGAATATGTCATGCACCAACCGATTTTAGATGTTTCTCGTTTGATAAACCAAGACGTTCCAAAATGGCTTTAGCCTGCAATGAAAATATACTGGTCAAATCAAAATGAACAAGGAACAAATCAAGACGAAAAGTACCATCAATTTAATGAAATTTTCATTCTCATTAAACTTGGTTATGTTACCTTTTTGCGTGCATTCTTATACGTAGACTCTGATTCAGAATCTGGATCTAGTTGCCCAAGAATGAATTTAAGGGTGACGTATGTGAATGCAGCGAGCACCGACAGCTTCACAGTAGCTGCCAATATTTCTGTTCTCGAAAAGCTGTCACTCATGGTTGTTGAAAATATTGGCGTTACAAGATTTAGAGTGGTTTCGGCTGAAGACGATGGCTTTTGCAAATAAACGCTAGGCTCTTCACTTCAGCTGAGCTGAGGCAAAGGGGAGAGGAGGGAAGGAGAAGGGGGGGAAGGTTGTAGAGCAGAGAATGAGACTTTCCTTTTCATTTCATTCATTCTCTGCCTCACACGGTGTGCGTGCGGTAGTGAGTAGTGAGTTGATTTCCATCGATTTAAAGCACAACAAGTACTTATTTTGAATTTGTCAAAATGGATAAAGCGCCAGTCTCCGCGGAGAAAGATATTTTTGATAAAGTGTCTTCCAATGATATTAATGGTATTCAAAGTATGTTTGCGGATTTAAAACTGCCTTCAGTAGACTTTACAGATGAGAATGGAATGACTCCTCTTCAGCATGCTTGTTACAAGGGAAACAAGGAAATAGCTCAAATGTTATTGGATCAGGTGAGCTGGGTTTCATTATTCTTGGCTTTAGATTATCATTGTTGGCCATGGCCATCAATTTGGTACCTTTTTGGTACCTTGGGTGATGGTGGGGACCATGACCCTCCCGCCGGGTAGTTTGATACAAATGCCAGAAGCAAAAATTGTGCATTGTCTGATTTCAGGGTGCGGATGTCAATAGCAGTAAACACGAACATCAGTATACTGCACTTCACTTTGCCGCTCTCTCCAGCAATGCAGATTTATGTCAACTGCTTCTCACTGCAGGAGCCAAATCTCATGCCACTAACTCAGTTGGACGCACACCTGCGCAGATGGCTGCTTTTGTGGGTGAGTTCTTGGGTCAATTAATGTTTTGTGAGAAATCCAGTGCGATGGTATTAATGTAAATTTCTCCATTAGGCAATCACGCATGTGTTAGTGTGATCAATAATTTTGTACCACGAGCTTCCATTGACTATTACACTGTACCGCAAGGCTTGGAGAAAGAGCCTCGTCTTCCGCCATTTCTTGCTGCCCCTTTACATAAGTTTGTCATGCAGGCAAGTACAGCCAATAAAACTCTTCATAATTGCTTTATATCTCAGAAGATGAGAACAGTTTCTAGGGATATCAGAAGAGAAAATAATTTAGTTAAACCTCTTTATATCAAACGTTTGCAAAAGAATAGATTTAATCCAGCCAGATATGGAATTTAAGGGGGAAATTCAACCAATGTATCCAAGTTAAATGGTTTTTTGCAAAGATCTGTCTCTCATAAGAAACATTTTTTTCATCTGCAGGTCAACATGCATCCAGTACGTGTTGCTTTAAATTTACATGGACCCCTATTAGACCACTTAGACAAAGTAAAGAAAATTTTGGAACTCATGCGTGATCGTGAAGCACGCCAGGGAGCTGAGACAAATGAAATTGTGACCTTCAAGTTCCATTACCTCTCATATATCACAACTGAAATTTATCAAATTCAACAAAGACAAAACCAGCAGCAACAAACACAAATGAAATTAAAAGAGGTTTGTATTCCATATTGAAACTTGTTGGAATATTTTCTTTGTACCTAGCTAACGTTTTATACCTTCTTTTTGTTACACAAAAAATCCTGTGTACCAACATTAGAAAGACGATAAAGTAGATGAGAAGGACAGAAAATGGGACCCAATAGAACTTTTCATTAAAAATATGTTGAAACCAGCTCAACCTGGGAAACCTCACACCACAGAGCTACAAGAGCGCTTACTCAGGGAATGTGTGAGGGAGTATCCATACCGGGAAAGCAATCTTTTGCGACAAATGGTCAGTTTCCTTTTATGGTTGTTGTTTTCTTTCCCTTTATGAAACTGAACTTTTATTCATAGCTTTTATTTGACCCTCCCTTGAAACTGAAATTCTCATTGTTTCACAGGTAACAAATTTAGCTATGTCTGATTCTGCTGCAGCATTAGCTGTTATTTCAGCTGCCATAAATGGTCAAAGAGCCTTCTCTGATGGTACTGCCTCTGCTTGTTCAACTTGTGGAGAAGAAAAGGCTCCTAAGAAATGTTCAAAATGTAAAGCTGTACAGTATTGTGACAGAGAGTGCCAACGTCTCCATTGGTTTTTACATAAGAAAGCTTGTGCCAGACTTGGCTCTACAAATGTGTCTGTGGGAAATAATGGAATGAATGGTGCTTTTCCTGATGGAAGTAATGGGCAAATAGATTTGACCAGTGCACCCTAGTCAAATGTACTATCTGCCAGGCAGCCCTTTTGCTGCAATTGGCTGAGGATCTTGTGTTAAATATTGTTTTTCATATATGGAATGGAATGTTTTAAAATCAATTTTATTTTGTCAAATATCTTAATTTTGTTGATTTGATTCAAATGAAGAGGGTGCATAACAAGTACTCTTTTGTGCCCTTGTCATCAACTGCTCTAACATTATAGGTGTTACTTGTGGATTTGTTTTCTGTGTGACGTTATTGTATAAAATGTGTTAAAAATGTTGCAATATGATGCTGTTTCTGAGTTGGATGTAAAAATTTCTTAGTATTAAATTGCACCAATGTACATTTTGAGTTATTCTTCAGTTTGTTTATATACATTTATATACACAATCATGTAAGTATTACAGTGCGAATTCAGCTTAAAACCAATCTTGTTACAAGTGCGCGAGAAGTAAAACCGACCATGCAGAAATACTCCATATGTGGCACTGAAATAATACCAAGAGAAAGGGCTTGAGATGTTATTGCCCTGTAAAATATCTTGGCTTTCTGAGCTAGTCATTTTTAGACAGAAATCAAAAGCATAGTTTGTAGATATGTCCTATTGAAAGGCAATGTGCGGTTTTCTTACTTATTGTTGAATCCAGTATAAACTGGTTGTCAGTTTTCAACTTTTAAGATTTTTTATATGTTTGCAACTGTTTCTACAAAGATGTTTTCCACTTGACATTTTGATGATTTTTTAAAAAGTTATTTGTATTTTGCTGTTCCCAAAGTGCTAATTTTGCAGAATGTGCATTAAGTCTGAATTTAATGTCTGAAAACAAGGTAGTCATTTTTTGTTATCCTTTATATTTGTTATTGCTCAGTTGAAAGTTACGGAAAACAGATGATGACATTTTGAGACCTGCTACATGTGAAAACAGGGGTAACAAAGCAAAGGAATTAAAAAAAAAACAAACTAAAAACCAAACCTTATGTACTGAACCTTGGTTTCTCAGTCCTGTTACATAATGCGCTTCCTTCCTTCCTCACTCAACATAAAATAAATTTAAAAAATTAATTGGACTTCAACATTAACACACAGGTGGCAAACCAGTTTAAGAAGAGAAATAAGAAGTGGTCAAGGTCAAACAAATGAACTTACTCAATTTTGAACATCAATTAGACACACTTAACAGGAAGACAAACTTAATGATTGTGCAGATCAGACTGGTAGGCAATGAAAGTTATAGATAAAAGCACTTACTAATGTGAACAATTTTTAAACAGGTGGCAAACCAAGCAATCGTCATACCATATACCTAGTGGGAGAGATAAGTACATGATATCCCGCCAGCATATAACTACATACATTACTACTCAAGATTAAAAAGTGACTCTGAGTGCAACAATTTCCTGCCTGTCAATCAATCTGAATTTACCTATTTTTAAAAGTGGGGTGAGGCCAATTAAACAAGTTTCTGGTGAATATGACGTGAGGTCATCCTTGATATTGGGGATAGACAATTCTCTAGACATGACTTTTCAGAGTTCTATCCTTTCATACATGCAGGAAATACAAATTAACTAAAGAATATCACAATCTCCTTAGTTTCAATGGCACGTCAGACATGTAGAATGAAAAGGGTATGAACAAACAAAAATCAATGAGGCATGATCAGAATAATTTGCTGTACAATGAATTCTTTTGAAAAGTCATAAAAATTCATATCATATAAAACATAAGCTATAAAAAGAATATGGCTTTCGTATCACCAAGTATACATACATTATGGTCCACTAACTCAACATTTTATGAACCACATTCAAAACAAATGTTCAAAATCTTCCCAAATATTGACACTATGAACTGTTTGTTAGTCTTCAATGTCTTATAAAATAGATGGGGATTACAGTGTAGTGCTAAAGTTGAATAATGGGCACAATCCTTTTAAAATTATTGTTATTATCTTCACAAATTTTTTAATGTAAAATGAGCAATGAATGTTTAAGACACATCAAAAAAAAAAGGGAGGGAGGGGGCAATTTCACAAACGGTGCACAGAGCACAAGTTAAAAATTGTTACCTGAACACAAGGACACCTTACAAATGAATCAATTACTCCACTTAATTAGGATGATTTACTAGTAACCACACTGCAAGAGATGGTTTCAGTCAAACTCAAACCAAATGTGAGTAAATCATTTAAAAATTAGGTGTAATTTAGACAAAACAAGACTCTATTTTACATCTTCCTGATACGGGTACCCTATTTTTCTGATTAATGGGCAGAAACTTAGACTTTAAAAAGTGAATACATGTATCAATATATCATGAGCTTTGGCTTTGAAGCCTGCATTGAGAAAATGAACACAATAATAAAGTAATGAATCCCACAACATTTCTCCATAAAGTATAACTCTGATATGGATAAGTAAACATATCATCCAGAATTTCATTTCACAATTAAGATCAGCTTTGCCAGAGCTCTTGTCATAGATCTTGACAAGTTAATGCACTCAGGCCTTTTTTCTGAATGGCTGCTGCGACAGCAGCGTCCATAAAATCAAAGTGACCAAATGTTGGTGGGTTTTCTTCATTAGGAAGGGAAGAAATAGCCACTGCATCGGCATTAAGTCCTGGTGATGTTCTTGAATGGGATGACTGTGATGGAGTGGAAGAACTACAGATAGAATATTCATTGGGCTCAACACGACTCCTTTTTGAAATGCACGATGAGACAATACTCTTCCCTTGTCGTTTCTTGGAAACGTCATCATCAGACTCTTCTAATCTTGAGGAGCATTTCTTGGAAATTATAGGTATCTCATCAGGCCTTTCAGTTTGACTTGACTCCTTCCCATCAGGACTGGTGGACCTTGTGCAGGTGTTGGAGTCTGCTGATGATGGTCCAGCTTCCTTACTCTTACTAAGACTCAAGAAAGCACACCTGCAGGAAGAAGGGGGAGCATAGTTGTACTGCATTTCATCAGCATCATCTTCACAATTGCTGCTACTTGTAGAGTCAGCATCTTCCTCTATATCTGCTGGAGACAATGTCTGTTCTTCGGCTGACACTCCAAAGTCAGAGCCTACTGACAAAGATTCTGGACTGGACGGTGACTCGTCTAGAAATGTAGGTCGGTAGATTAGATGCTTTGGTTCCCAAAGTCTTGGTGGAGATGAAAAACATCTGGAGGGAGAACTAGAACTATAACTAAAGTGAGACCCTGCTTCAGGCAACGATTGCAGTGTATGCCTGTGAAGGCCATGTCTCTGAATGGCCGACAATATTCCCTCATTTTCAACACTTTCATCTTCCTCTTCCTCTTCACTGGTATCCACTCGAGGAAAATTGATTGAGCCCAAAACATCATCTGGATCAGAATCGGGAGCAGACTCTGGTACTGGAGTAAATCCCATCTCTTCCAAAACACTATTGATTGTATTTTCCATAAAGGCTTTGGCAATTTGTCTAGTTTGCCATTTTCGAACATTCAAGTCTGGATGAGAAGTAGGCAATGGAGGTGTTCTCGACCGATCTTCATCAATATGTAACGAGGCTTTTTTAACATTTTCGTTGAATGTATCACAGACAACACAGCTTACAGAGCTGGCACCCATATGTAAAGGTGAAAGTGGAGTGAATTCCTCACTTGATTTTAACAATGGATTGTCTCCTCCAGATTGGGAAGAGTGATGCTCACAAACGTGTGGAACCCGCTCAACTTCCATGGTGGGCTCATTGACATCAGTTTCACTGCCACCATTGATCACTTCTTGAAGTGACGACGAACTGGCTCCCGAAAATGAACTCTCTCTTGCTTGTGAGCTGTGATTTGAATTTTTGAGGTGATAATTGCCTTTAATTTGCCAAACATAATGAGCCTTTTTAAGAGGTTTCAAAGTAGACTCCTCAGAAACATCAGATTTTTTCTCATGAAGTTCATCATCATGCGTTTTAAGGGGACTCATTGCTCGGCTTTCAGATCCATCCATCTACAAAACAACAGAAAACAGAACAATAAATTAAAGATCAGTAAGGTTGCTATTCTGGTGACTTGCATCATTTCACCAGGCTTTGCTAGCACCAGAAGTTATTCTGAAAGGGAGAAAGGGACTAAACCATAAAACAAGAGTTTGACAAGTGACGTTAAAAAAATATTTTCAACAAAATAAAAAAAAAGGTTCAAAGGAAAAAGTTTAAAAGAGTCATTGATAATTTTTTCCGTCACTACACACCTGGATATCTGACGATTTTGTGAGTTCGTGTAACTTACAAAAAACCAGCAGACTAGACGTCACGAGAGGATTCAGTAAAAGGCAGACGTTTGGAGAGTGTTACAAAACAAATATTGGTTGACACAAATAAGCCTCACCTTTCCATTTAGACGGAATATGGATCAATACACATCAAAATGAAGGAGGACAAAAGTGCAAGGCGCACATTATGCGTTAAAACTTGCCCAAATTATACCCATCGCAATAACTGTGTATTACATAGGTGAAGGGAATCAGCTGTCAACAACAAGAATTCTTTCACTGCCTTCTTGGTTACGTCATTTACATTAATTCATTAATTCTTCCGCAATTCTTCTTCGTACGCCATTTTCCTTTGGTGGCAGTGTGCAGGATGTCCAACCTGAATAAATAGACGTCGATATACAAGTCGAGATGAATGGATATTTATCGTTGAATTTAGCTCCAGTACTAAGTAAATAATCTATCTCACTCAATTCTTCTGGCATGATACCGTGATAAGTCTCTTTTGAGCATAAGTTAAGCATGAATGTTGTCGGCAAAGATTGTAACAGATTAGTATGAGAAATAAAGCCTTCAAACATTTTAAGATAGTTCTTTGAAATGTGCTTTCTAGGGACTACATTGAATCAAACATCGTTAGTAGCATTTTACTGGTAGAAAAGAAAAGATCTGCCTATGTTTGTGAAAGTTAGTTTTATCTCGTTGAAACGAAGACAAAGTAGACATTTTTGATAGACTACGTGAAATTTTTCATATATTGGTTGACATATCTAGCAGACGGTATTTGACATTTGGTGAATTAATTAATTTACCAACTTTAAGCTGTGTCATTTAACTCTAAGAAAATGCGAAATTGAACTTCTTTTCAAATGAGTTGCTTCATGTTCACTGTCTTTCGACATTTCAAACTAACACATTTCAACCCTGTCCTCGAGTTTATTTCGTGACAAAGTTGGTAAGGAGTTTGTAGTCGTGTTGGAGGAAGTGAGACGTGCCATTTCTGTGAAGTCGACTGCTAGTGCCTGGATAAAACGTCAAATGGTTCTCTTAAAGGGATAGCAGTGAAACTCTAACATATCTCAAGATGGGACTTCCTGGAAATGGAATGTACGTGGTGCAGGGGGAGATGTCCATCCTGCTCACGTCAATGAAAAGAGGCAACCGTTGGTCATCGCACTCTCACCAGGTAAGCAGACGACACTCTCCTGTCTTTACCCTAATTTTGTCGTTAAAACTTTCCCCTTTCCTCGAAGAACTGACAGTAGTATTATTGCCTTCGATTCGTTTTTCAAATATTTTTGAGATCGTGTTCAGTTTTGTGTTGTCGACTCTAGTCCTCCCTGTTCCATACTGTTCAGAGGTTATGGCTCTATTTATTCTGGCTACATGTCTAGATTGTGTCAGTTTTGCCCTTGTTACAACATAGATAGTAAAAATCAATTAACAACTCCATTGAATTTGTGTACTGCCTGGAGCCAAAAGTTTTTGACAGCTGACAGCTGTTTTATCAGAGGCAGCTCTTGGAGCAATATTTTTCTGTTTCTTTTAGATGTTTAAGTGCTTTTTTATCTTTCCAATTTTGTAAGCCACTGGAGTTAATGATTTGCTTGTCTTTGATTTTGGGGAATTTTCTGTTGCTATTATCCTGAGGCACTCTGAATTCGTAGTCCCTTCAATAATTTTAAGATCACTCCTTCTTTCCTCAAAAATTATGACCATACCATCTTAGGGTAATCTCTGCATTTTAAAAATAAAGACAAGTAAAAGTCAAAATACTACTCTACTGGTTTCATCTGTTGCTTTGCTGAGTGCTAATTGTTTTTGTTTTGTTGACAGGGTGACGAAAATGATAGTCTTATACGCCTCTTTCTTAAGTTGAAAGAATTGTTGAATCAAGAGGGAGATTTGCGACACCTTGATCCAAACCACTTCTTTGGTATGATCACAACAGAATGTTGTTTGACTTTTGTGTTTTAGTTCCTTTCCAAATCTCAGTCTCATTCCTTCCTCTCCCTTTTATTTCTAGATCCATTTCTAGAAGTTATTCGATCAGAGGAGACAACTGGTCCTGTTACAAGTCTAGCCCTTGCTTCAGTGGCAAAATTTTTGTCGTACAATCTCCTTGGTGAGAAATATTGAATTACTTTGCTTTGCTTAAGACTTGTAGCAAAATTATCAATGTTTTACGTTCTTGTCTTTTTATTACTGTTTCAGATCCATCAATCAAAACTGCAGCAGCTTGTGTTGAAAATATTGCAGATGCAGTGACACATGCTCGATTTGTCGGGACTGACACAGCAAGTGATGGGGATGTTCTGATGAAAATCTTGCAAGTAAGTTTCTGAAAGATTGTAATGAAAACAGAGAGCTGTAAAACTGTACCAAAGTGAATCTCTTCATGTTTTCTTTATGTTTAAAACTTATAACATTACAGGTCTTAAGGATACTAATGTTATCACCTGTGGGATCACTTTTGACTAATGAAACTGCTTGTGAAATTATGCTGAGCTGCTTCCGTATATGTTTTGAGATGCGTTTGGATGGTAATATTCTTTTAGATTACTAAATTTGTATCCTAATTTGTCATTCCATGGTAGTTGTTTGTGTTAAATTAACTATGCTAATATTTCATTTCATTATTTCTAAGAGTGTTTTTATGGGTTGGTGGTTTCAGAACTGTTACGTCGGTCTGCTGAACATTGCTTGAAGGATTTGGTACAGTTGGTATTTACTCGCTTGCCAGAATTTTCTGAAGACCACCAAATACGTTCAAGTATGAAGGCAAGTAAACAAAAAATAAGACCAGAAATCATGTTATTATTGTTAAAGTGTATTTCCTATTAATACATATATTTATACATACATACATTATTTCATTTTATTTCATCTACTTTCAGAAACTGAAAATGAGGACAGGTGCAGTAGACCAAAATTCTTCTCGTGCTTCCAAGCGAAAGACTAAAGCAATTGGTTACAACAAGCATGGTCATCAAAAAGTAGATTCTATTTCAACGTCTGATCCCCACATAACTAATCTTGGTAAGATACCACCTCAGACACATAGATTTCCATCTCAAGAGGTGTTTTCAACTGTCCTATTTTCCTCAACTGTTTTTTCTTTTTCATTTGCTTCCTAGAGGAAAGGTTTGTAAAACCTCACACTTCAAATTCAGACGACCTACCTAACTCATCTGAAATTAAGCATAGGGAGAAAAATTCAGAATCTGAGGTAATTTTCCTGCAATTTCAATTGTAATGAGCTTAATTTAGTAGTTATGATAATATTAATCTGGTCTTTATCCTTCAGAATGACATTGCTCCTCCATGTGATGAAAGAAATTCAGCTGGAGATTCAAAACCTCCAGTAGATGTAGACCCCAGCACTGGATCAAGAGCAATACAGAATGTTAGTGGGAGTGTTGGTAGTGAGTCTTCTGGTGAAGGACAAGTTGGACCAGATGTTGCAGGTATCAAATTAGTTTCCCAAACAGAAGTTGCATCTAACACACACATTGTTGAAAGTAGTGAAAAGGAGATTATTCAAACATCAAACACCACAGGTAAAGTGCTGTGGGAGAACTTCTTTTTGTATAAATCAATAGAGCATACAAGACATTCAGATTTTTATTAATTTTCAGAAAACTCTATGTCATCCATTGAAGAGTCAGGGGAATATTCAAGCAGTACAGTTGAGGCCTCATCTGAAGTATCTACTTCTGTGTTAAACTCAACTGAGAAAATTAGCCCTACTTCAAAATCCAAGAGCCAAGAGCCAGCATATGTTAATCCTCAAGGTGTTCGTTTCACGAGTGGAGAGGATGATGACATTGAAGGCGGTGAGTTATCACTAATGGCTCATTCATTATTACTTACCTGATCTCACATTTTAATTACTTTATTGTTTTGACTTCCAGCTCCTCTTGTACCTTATGGAATTGAGTTCATTTGTGAACTTTTCCGGTTTCTTATTTCCCTTTGCAATCCAACTGACAAGCAAAACTCTGAAAAGAAGCTTCACATTGGTCTCACATTGCTCACAGTGGCTTTAGAAGTTGGAGCAGATAGTATTGGACAGTATCAAACACTTCTTACGCTTGTTAAAGATGATCTGTGCAGAAATATGTTCTGTGTAAGTTGTCAAGTTTTTAATTCCCTCTCTTCTATATAGATGAGACTTCTTTACATTTTATGCCTGTTGTTTTCAGTTATTGACTACAGAACGTATTCCTCTTCTTGCTGCTACGTTGAGGGTTACATTCCTCCTCTTTGAATCATTGCGCACCCATCTTAAATTCCAACTTGAGCACTACTTACTTCAGTTAGCAGAAATGGTTACTTCTGATTCTCCTAAGACATCTTATGAACATAAGGAACTTGCATTAGGTCTGTATAATGCTTTTTAGGATACTTTTTAATTATTCATAGAAAAATAACCATTCCCATGAGTATTTATGTCGTCATTCAATTCTTATTTTACAGAGTCTATTGTGCAATTGTGGAGAATACCAGGTTTAGTGACAGAATTGTACCTCAATTATGACTGTGATCTATACTGCTCCAACATATTTGAGGATCTATGTAAACTTTTGTCCAAGGTTAGGACAGTTGTATTTTTATCAATTGGAATTTTAAGGTTGCTTCCTTAATGAAGAACAAAGAGGATTTTATGACCACCTTTCTGTTGCAGAATACTTTTCCTGTATCGGGATTATTTAGCATTCACCTATTATCACTTGATGCCTTACTAACTGTCATTGAGTCAATTGAAAGAAATTGTCACAGTCGTATGCAAAGCGAACATCAGGAATCTGCAGCATCTCTTTCGGTTACCAAATCAGGTAGGTTTCCAATCCTTACACAAAGCTTCCACCAATCATATTCAAAATATCCCACTGAAATGAAGTTTTTCAATTATTTTTTTCTCAGAAACGTACCAAGATGCCACTAAGTCCATAGTCCATCAGCCTTTGGCACCACCTCCTTCAATGGGGAGGTGTCATGTGTCGCTGAATATCCCTACTCATGAACAACTTATGGCAGATAAAAGAAAGAAAAAGGTAAAAACATATAAGTTTCTTTCACAAATCAACTAAATGAGATGTAACCATTTTAACAATTCATGATACTACGTATTTATTCTTACTGACATAATTCCATTTGTTTTTACATATTCAGTTACTAGCCACTGGAACAGAACATTTCAATGCTAAAGCCAAAAAGGGCATTCAGTACCTTCAAGAGCATCATTTATTAGCAACGCCTCTGGACACAAGTGAGGTGGTTCACTTTCTAAGAGAAAATCCACGGCTAGACAAGAAAATGATTGGGGAATTCATTAGCAATCGAGAAAACTTAGCTGTGCTTGACTGCTTTGTTAAGTAAGCATTGTTTTACATTTAATTTTACTTTGTTGTTTGAAAGAATTATAACATGAAAATTTGCAGGTCATTTGATTTTGTTGACACTCGCATAGACGAAGCTTTGCGTCAATATCTGGAGGTATTTAGGTTACCTGGTGAATCACCTCTTATATCTCTCCTTTTAGAGCACTTTGCAGATCATTGGCATGTAAGTCCAACTTCAAAATAAGTAAAATTATTGTTTGGCGGTTCATGTTTCTAAAGTAAATATATCATTCCTCTCTTCCAGAAATGTAATGGAGAGCCCTTTGCAAATAATGATGCTGCTTTCACTCTTGCCTATGCTGTTATCATGTTGAATGTTGATCAACACAATCACAATGCCAAAAGACAGAACAACCCTATGACCCCGGATGAGTTTAAACGCAATCTCAAAAAGGTCAACGGAGGCAAAGATTTTGAAGAGGACATGCTTGATGAAATCTACAAATCAATCAAGTTTGTTTGACCAAATTTCTTCTATCATAAATTAAATCCACAAATCATTTTTTACTGTTTAAAAAAAAATCTCATTTCCAGATCTTGTGAGATTGTTATGCCAGCTGAGCAAACCGGTGCAGTGAGAGAAAACTATCTGTGGAAAGTTTTGTTGCGTCGTGGGGCAAGTAAAGATGGGGTTTTCATTCATGCACCCGGAGGACTGTTTGACCATGACCTATTCTCACTTATTTGGGGCCCCTCTGTTGCTGCTTTGAGCTTCATATTTGATCGCAGTATGGATTCTACTGTGTATCAAAAAGCAATATCAGGGTTTTTGTAAGTGCCATGGCATAGTTTTAGGGACTTTGTTGTTTTGTTTTAATTCTAAAAACTGTCTTTTCAATAGAATTTTTTGCTTTTAAATTCAGGAAGTGTGCATTAATATCAGCTCATTATGGGATGAGCAATGATTTTGACAACCTAATCATTTCCTTGTGCAAATTTACAACCTTAATAACAAGTGCAGAGGTAGTGTGCTACAGTGGGATCATAATCTTTTCTTGGGATGGTTTCATCCTAAAACCACCATTTTAAAAAAAAATTCATTGTTCCTTTCAGACTGTGGATTCATTACCAGTTGCATTTGGAGCAAATCCCAAGGCTCAATTGGTCACCCGCACTGTTTTTGGTCTCGCTCAACGGCATGGGGACATTTTGCGTCATGGTTGGGCCAACGTTCTTGAATGCTTACTCCAACTTTATAAGTGCAAACTTCTACCAAAAGCTCTCACCGAGGTATTTTACTATTTTTTTCCTTTAATTTCGTTCATTATTATGATTATGTTAAATTCTCCTCACATATCCTTATTAATCCCATGTTATTAGGCTGAAGATTTCCTGGAAGCTAATGGCAAGATATCACTGATGAGAGAAGAGGCTCCTTCTCAAAAAACAGAGACTGGCCTGTTCAGTTCTCTTTATTCCTACATTGCTCTGTCGTCTGAGCCTGCATCCCAGCGAATGGTATCTCAAGAGGATCAAGAGCATATTCAGCAAGCCAAACGCTGTATAAGAGAATGCCATCTGGAGCTTTTGATAACTGAGTCAAAGTTCTTGAGAATTGATTCCCTTCAAGAAATGGTCAAGGTAATGGTGCTGTTGTTGCCCTTTTGATTAATTTGTCTCATGAATATTCTTGTTGGTGTTGTTGTGAAAGCAGTATCTTTCCTCACAGCATGTCCTGTTTTGAGCCTGTGTTTACTCTCTTGTATACTTTTCAGGCTCTCATTCTAGCTTCTCACGGTCCAGATGGTCACCCATCCTTGGGCACTGCACAAAACGAAAGCACTGCAATATTTTTCTTGGAGCTTCTTATTAAAGTGATCATTCAAAACCGAGATCGAGTAGCCTCTGTGTGGAGTAATGTGCGTGATTACATATACAGCTTGTTGATGGGTGCTGCAGCCTGTGAACATCCTTTCCTGATGGAGAGGTGTGTCGTTGGCCTCCTGAGATTGGCTATTCGGTTGATGCGGCGGGAGGAAATGAGTCCTATGGTGAGTTTCTTATCTGTAGCCACACAGTAGAATATCTCATTTTTCCTCGCCACTGACCTTAATTGATTTAATCCTTACTAGATTCTTCAATCATTACGCATGCTTCTGCTACTGAAATGGGTTCCCCTCTCAAGAGTGTCACGGAATGTTGCTTATGGAATTCATGAACTTCTCAAAACAAGTGCCGCAAATATCCACAATGATGCTGACTGGTCAGTCATTTTCACATTACTGGAGGTTGTTGGAGCTGGTGCACCTCCACCTCGTGTGTTCGGAGAATCCACTTCTCAAGAACTGAGTGCTCAGGACCAAGGTATGATTAAATCATGAGATTTGCTACTCTTTCATTATTATTGTAATTCTGTAAAGATATATTGAGATATTCTGTGAAGGTATCTTTAGTGAGTATGTTGATTTCTCTCTGTACCTTGGAAATTTTTTACAGGTGCCAAGTCTGATGGAGAATTGCAGTTAGGTTCACAAGAAGATAGTGGAATAGGAACTGAAAGGGGCTATACATCTGATTCTGAAATAAGCCGTAGCACCAGTAGTCTACCTACAACTAGCCAAATCCTTTCTCAGCCTCTTAGCCCAACCAACAGCCCTGAACTTTCTCCAAGCAATGCATTGACTGGTGGATGGATACTGGTAATTAATTCTTGATTTGTAAAATAATAATAATAATAATAATATAATAATAATAATAATAAGTGATATTTACTGACCAAAAATAATTTACTCCCAAACAGGTTGGGCGAGAGGGTGAAATTCAACCTGTGTCTATGAGGTCCTTGAGATTGACTGCAAGTAGTCCTTCTTGGGACCGAGAACTATATGCTCATGACCCCTATGCTCTCATTAAATGCTGTGAAAGCCTTACTTTTCTCGTCAGAGATGTAGCTCACATAACGCCTTACAATTTTGAATATTGTGTCCATTGTATCAGAACATTTGTGGAGGCCAGCTTGCATTCGAGTAAGAGGAAAACATTTACAAATTTGTGATTTGTCACTTGAGTACCTTAAAAGTCTATTAGAAATAATAATAATAATAATAATAATAATTGTTGTTTTTCTTTACAGCTGACAAGAAACAGTCTCGGAAAGTTGCTAGTCACAATAAAGATGTTAGTGGCAAAAATCGTAAAAGGCTTCCAAGTCTAAGAAGGAGAGATGATCCTAGTTCTGTTAGTGCACAACGAAGAGCACGCAGCCCCCAGAATAATCCTTATGATGCTGATGAAAGTGATTCTGAGGAATTACCATCAGAATATCCTATCCAGGTATGAAAAGTTCATTTCACATTGTATTTTGTAAGCACTTGAGTGGACTTTAATTTTGTTTAATCTTGATTCCAGTTGCTAGACTTGATGCACACTTTGCATACTCGTACAGCTCAAATATATCGGTGGTGGGCTGAAGAAAGTGGTGATGTCCAGCAGCCGTCTTTGTGGGCTACAGGATGGTGTCCTTTACTTCAAGGTATAGCACGTTTATGCTGTGATAGCCGGAAAGAGGTAGGTCAGACAGGGAAATGCTTATAGTTATGTTTGAATTTGATTTGTAGAATATCTTAAGAACCGTCCTTTTTTTTTGCCTTTTTAGGTCAGAATGAGTGCCATCACCTATCTTCAAAGTGCTCTTTTAATGCACGACCTCCAAACTCTCAGCGCCCAAGAGTGGGAATCATGCTTTAGCAAGGTCCTATTCCCACTTCTGGCTCGGCTGCTGGAACCAGTGTGTCCAGGTGATGCCGCCTGCAGAACCCGCGAAGAAGAAACTCGAATGCGTGGAGCAACTCTACTGAGCAAGGTAGGCATTGTGTGGCAGAAAGAATATCAGGCTAACTTACTTTACTGTTTTCACTTGCCCATCTTGTCGTTTCAGGTGTTCTTGCATCATTTGACTCCTCTTCTATCTCTGCCAAATTTTACTGCTTTATGGCTGACTATATTGGATTTCCTGGACAAATATATGCATTCAGATCACAGTGACTTGTTGGTAAGAACTTGTTCAACTCACTCAGGCTGTGCTCCCTCATAATTAAATGAAAATGGTTGAAAATGTCTCAATTTTCTTTTTTAGTTGGAAGCCATCCCTGAAACATTGAAGAACATGCTCTTAGTGATGGATTCTGCAAGAGTTTTCTCAACTCCAGATGGCTACTCTCCCTTGTGGACAGTGACTTGGGAACGCATTGAAAGATTCTTGCCGTCATTAAGGATGGAATTCATGAAAGCCCATCCACCAGGTATTATGGTTTACTTTCTTTTCTTCCTTTTTTTGAAGTGTCTATGGACAAAATATGCCAATATATTATTTTTTTTCACATCAGCAGAGGCATCTAAGCCACCTGTTGAAGAAATTGCTCATAGTCCGGAATACGAAGTGGTTCCAAATGAACAAGAGACGTGGCTTTTGCAGCACCAGCAACAACAAATGCAGCAACAACAGGAGTTCCAACAACAAGAGCTCCATCAACGGGAGTACCAACAACAACAACAGCAATTAAACCAGAGTCTTCCTCACAGTCCACAACATGAACCCATTTTGCGGAATGACGTAGATCTTTCCCAAAATGCTGTTGGTTTCACTCCAATACAAGTAGCAGCTCCTAATATTGATCCTAACATGCAGCCACATCAACCCATTCCTATTCTTGATCCAGCAGCTATTTCTATGGCACCACCTCCAATGCACAGGTTACATTCATTATGGAAAAAATTACTTGTGTTTGCTCCCACACACATTATTATTAGATTTTGTTCATTTTGTTTTTGTTTTCCAGCATTTCGAATGTTATACTTCAGCCTCCTCTTCCCATGCCTGGAGGAGCAGGACTTTCATTGCCACCCACTATATTTTCCCACATGGGCCAGGTTAGTGCTGGAGTTTTAATTTCCTTATTTGTATAATTCATGTGGTATACTGTCAAGACACATCAAAACATTTCATGAATGTTTCAGCTTGTATCAACACCAATTACTGGTCCACCAGCACCTGTGGCTGATGTCTCTCAGGGTTCTATTGACTTATCAGCAAATCCAAACTCTGCTTTCTCAAGTCACTCAGTCAGCATGAGCCCTGAGGCAGTGATGGAGGCATTTACTCCTACTCGAGGATCTGGAATGCGAGGGAGTTCATTCACTAGTTTGTCTCATGCAATGCCAAATGCAAATGAAGGTGGCCTCATTCCAGCATCTCATTACTTCTTTCAGGATCAGTCAACTGCTCCATTAACTGAAGTAAGTGACTATTAAGTCCTGAAGCCAAAGAACTTTGGTCATGTTTATTATCTTTTTAAGCACAAGGGCTGCATTTTTGTGGCCAACATGGTGACAAAGTTGTCATTTCAGTATCTCCTTTTTTGCCAGTATTATTTATTAAGTTTACTATTTTCTCTCTTTTTCAGACATTCCATTCTCACTCAATGAGTAGCCCAGTAGGAGGTAAGATTGTGTAACTTAAACAAGAAGATTTGAAAAGAGCTAATGTACTAGTTTGTACTTAATGTTATCTTATTTTGTCTCTAGGTGTGGGTACTAGTAAAGGAATTCTCTTAGAAGGTGCAAATATCCCAACTCTACCAATTTTATCACCTTTTGTTTCAATGGAACAACCAAGTAATGATGTCCACAAAGATGAACTTTAAAGTTTTCCCTTGACTTCTTTGCTCATAGTAAACCTCTCACTGTGCACTCTTGTAGTGTAAGATTTTAAGATGGAAGCCAAACTATTACAGTTAAGTGTGCTCAAGAAACATCTTGAAACAAGATGAGCACTGACACTGACATTTAAATTGTGATGTGACTTACTCTGTATATATTAATGGTATCTTATCAATTTTGACTTACCGTTCAACCTCTTGTTGAACTGAACTGAACAGCAGGCTGGATGTATGAATCACTATTGCAATTACTCTTCAAAATTGCTTTAAGTACTGAGTTACTTCGTGTAAATTGAAATATCACTTTAAGTTTTATGCCAGTTTGAGCCATGATTGTTAAATAATAATGTTTATAATGTTAAATGGAATAAGGGAAAGAAGATAACTTCCACCATTCAAATAATGAATGAATAAATTTTATTGTATAATACAGAGTTATTTAACTTAGATATTTTCCTGCATTTGAATTGTAGATGAGCTAGTGTTATTAAATGTTATGTCTTTGTTTGTTCTATAATACTTTACCCTAAAGCGCCTGGGTGAATGGATGCAAGGCAAGAATCAGTAAAAATAGGGGATGGCTTTAAAAATTATGTTAATGGGCTTGGATCCTGTATCCACACAGATCCATTTTATATGTTATTTTTGTATTTTGTTATCATTGTATGAGTTTTTATTACAATTGACTGCAGTTTTATTTCTCTGCTGTTAATTATATGCAGATAAATTTATCATACCAATGAATTCTTAAATTTACACTGTCGGGCATGTCTGTTTGGTCAATCTTCATTTGATATATTGCCAAGCTAGTGACTGTCCTCAATTGTATTTGATTTGGTGACCATACTTGTCAAAACACCTCCTTCATCTACATTTTCCCACTGTTGCTGTCCTTTGTCTAGGTACTCTAGGATGGACCAGTAATTGAAACTAAGCAGTAAAGTTACCAGGTGTTTACATTCAAGCTGTTGTAATTCATAATACTTCACCTAGTACTTCAGTAAAACACAATCATGTCCGTTGTGATTAAGAAAATTCTTCCAAGCTAGATTTACTCAACATTTAGATCAAGCTGTGCTTTAAGAATGTGGATCTCTATATAAATAAAAAAACTAGTGAAGTCAAAGAAGTTGTTTCGTTATTGAATTTACACAAGTACAAAGTGATATATGGGTGGGGAAACGTATCTATCTCCATGGAAAAGGAAGAAGGAAAGGCAATACAAGGCTGATGATGGATACAATGTTTATTGCTGGAGTGATCACAATTCATTACAATCTTTTCCTACTTGCCAGATAGCATCCGCTGAGGTCACTGTTTTGACAAGCCAGCCACAGCAAAAATGCAGTTTAGACAAATAAAACACAGAACATTTGTATTTTATTAACAATACATCAATTTACTTCTTTCAAATTTTACTCATTTATTCTTGTTAAATGGAGAAGGTATGCAATCAGTTTTGAAGGCAAACTGCAAACAGCTCTACATTTCCCAAATAATTAATAATGAGTGCAGCTATAAAATTGTAATACTCTAAACAACCTATGATGCATGGAGTCCATGACAGAAAAATGATAAATGGAAAATGATGGGCATGGATAAATAAAATGAAGCAACCAAAGATGTGCAACACTGCATAAAAGGTACATCTAATGCTAGAAAATGAAAATGACTTCAAAGTTGACTTCATTCGATTGGAGCCTTTCATAATCTAGAGAGTTGATGTTAGTATGCTTATGTTTTAAAATTTTGTACAGGCTCTAAAATGTACAACACAAGGAAAACATTAAGGGAAAAGACCTGAAGATCCAAACACTAACAGTATGTCACATTAAAATAAAAATCACATTTCATAAAAACAATAAGCGCTTCAATGCTATAATCTAAAACAAGATGGATGCACACCACATGAATAACAGCAAGTGTACACACAGATGTTTTAGGACATTAAGTGGTACGCATAATATTCATACAAAAAAGGAGAATTAAAGAACTGATTTGCTGAACAGGCAAAAAATAAAAAACCCATAATGATTAAAAAATGAGGGCACAATTTTAAAACACGTCTCCAAATCCAAACAAGAGTAACTAGTAGAACATACATTAGATGTAGGTAAAAGACAATCTGCACACATTAATTATGACACACAGAAGTCAACATAGCCTTTTAACATCTACATAGGAAAAAAGGACTCCAAAACAAGAAACAGCAGCGAAAAAAAAATCCCGCACAGCCATTAGCAAGCTCCATTCAAATTGGTAAAAAACATGACTAAGATGGCAGTTTGATACTGATCAGGTGTTGATCAACTCCGCACCAAATAAATTCATTTAAGTACAAATGCACAGCTCTCTTGAATGTCTTCATCTCACTGTGGTTTCATTTTGGTGCGATTAGAAAGCCAATCCTGCCTCTTTGTAGGTGGTGTAAATTTTCTCAATAGAATTCACATATGCAGCTGTTCTGAGGTCCAAACCAAGGTTGTATTTCATGGCAGTCTTCATAATGGCCTGGAAGAGGAAAGGCGGGGTCAAAGATAAATCAACAGGCTGGCCTCAGACAAAGTTCTTTAAAAATTGCTAAATACACACCCTAGCTGATCGCTCCATGGTGTAGTCCAATCCAGAGTGGACAATGTCTTTCTCAGACGCACCGGAGATTCTCTTCTGGAATGATTCTGACGGAGTGACGGGGATTCGCCCACCGACGCGTCCAAAGCGTCGTTCAAGTGACTCCTGTACAGATTCTGTTGGTTGAAAATTAAATGAATTCATGATATAAGTCTAATTTAAGTTGAATTTTTTCATTTTTTTTAAAGTTGAGAGAAAGGGGGTGCCTTACCCAACAGATGATAATTAGACTCCCTCTCGTACTTAAAAGTTAGACGGCCATAAGAAACGTGGTTCAGATTCTTGAGCCATTCAAAGAAAGATACAGTCACACCACCAGCATTAATGTACAAATCAGGGATGACCAAGATGTTTCGTTCTAAAAGTATCTTGTCGGCAGCGGGGGTGGTAGGTCCATTTGCAGCTTCAGCAATAATCTAAAAGTGGCAGAAATTGAATTTTGAAAATCAGATCAACTAGAAAACTCACACAAATCATAAAATATTTCACTGATTAGATTTATTTTAACAGAAAATGGGAATTTCTTTTGGATACCTTTGCTTGAATCTTGTGGGCATTATTGCTAGTGATGACTTTTTCCAATGCAGCAGGCACAAAAATATCACATGGCTCATACATAAGGTTCTCCCCCTCATAAGCCTTGGCGCCAGGGAAGCCGACGATGCTTCCGACATCCAAACGGTAATCCTCAAGTTGCTAATGCAGAAATGGAAGAACAAAATACAATAAGAAAAGGCAGTTTGTTGAAATGAAGGTGGGGAATCATCAGAAATTAATACCTACCTTAGGGTCAATGCCCTCAGGGTTGAAAATGGCACCGTCGTGCTCAAGCACACCAATGCACGTTGCTCCAGCACGGTGGAGGTACCTCATTGTGTGCAGGCCTACATTACCGAAGCCCTGTAACAGAGGTCTTAGTGGAGTTAGGTACTTTAAATCACCATAAATAAGATTTTCAACACTTTTAAAATAGAGACTATATGGGGAAAATGAGAGAAAATGTACCTGAACAATGAATGTTTTTCCGCCCCAACCGGGAGTAGTTCCAATCATGCTCATATAATTGGCTTCCATAATGAAATTTTCTAGGCCGTGGAAAACACCACGTCCGGTTGCGGAGATGCGACCGTGGATACCTCCCTGGTTGATTGGTTTACCAGTAACACAGGCATGAGCATTGATGTCCAAATGACCTGATAAAACACATAACCGTTATTTCAAAACGTACTAACTTATTCACATTACATTAAAAAGAAAATGTTAGAATGTCTGAAATTACCAATGGTTTTAGCATAAGTGTCAGCGATCCATGACATTTCCCTTTCACCAGTTCCCATGTCGGGAGCAGGGACGTCGACACCGGGTCCTGGAATGAAGACACAATCGCACATTAGCGTCTGCATTTCATCTCAATTTAATTACAAAGCTGATAAATACAAACCCAAGAGACGGGTGGCGGAGGTGTGTGATTTGGAATGGAGGACGATCTGGAGAAGGACAGGGGTGAGGGGGGTCAGGGACTGCAGTGAACCGAGCACACCCACCGAAACTCACCAATGAATCCTTTCTTGGCCAACTCGAGGGTGAACCGTCTGGTGATCTTCTCCAGCTCGTGCTCAGAGTACGCCTTGGGGTTGATTTTCACTCCAGCCTTGGCGCCGCCGAAGGGCACGTCGACGCACGCGCACTTGAAGGTCATCAGCGCCGACAGCGCCTTGACCTCGTCCCGGGACACCTCCTCCGAGAAACGGATACCTAGAACAAGTCGGGACGAGACACCTTCAGCTACCGACCCAATGGAAACTTCCCACAGCGCGTGACACATTGCAATATGCCAAAGGGAATGAAGGGAAGCCCCCCATTAACCGGACTGTCAACGCGAAGCGTCAACGCGGCGGACACAGCTGTCGGCGTCCCACATGTCGCATTACATGCCGTGCCGCATGGGGTGGCGCCAAGTTTAATCAGTCCCTTCCTGCCTGCCAGGCGTGCCGCCAGGCCAAGAGGCTGCAAGGCAGGCCGCCCCGAAACAAGTTCAGGGCCGCGGAGCCAGGTCGCACTTTCGCTTTTCCGTTCCTGCTCTCTAAAAGCCCTAGGGTCAAAGGCTGCGCACCAGCATTGTGGCAGATATTTTTTCCGGGGTGGAGGCCTTGTACCGCCTTGTGTGCTAGCCTCCTCAGACTGCTTTGCCAGGGCGCCAGGTAGCGGCCGCAGTTGGTGGGCAACCCGCGGACACAGCGACTGTAACTAGCGACGTCGTCGGCGTGGTTTCATCGCTCTGCCTCTCTCGCACTCTCAGGGCTCTCCGTGTGAGTGCGAGAGAGACGGCGCGACTCTTGGCGACGGCGCTGCATCCTAGTCATCCGAGCGGCGAGGCGGCGGTTGATAAGCGCGCGGGGTGCCGGGGTGGCGAGTTGCAGCACCCGTGTCGGCTGTCGGCGTGATAACGTCCAGAAAAGGCGGGTACACAGTGAAAAGGCGAGGCGGCACCGCCCCCGCCGACAGATAACAGCCAGAATTAGCGGGAGTAAAATCGGTAAGCGGTGTAGCAAGAGCAACGACCGTGTTGCCATGAGCGGCCGCACCAAGGGCCGCACCACCCGGCTGCACGCGCGCCGAGACGCGCGCACTGGCGAAGTTCGGGAGGGAGACGGGCCACTTTGAGCGAACCAACCGTGCAACAGTGTAGAGACGTTCGAACGCATGGAATATTTCGTAGCTTCGATCAGCCGGGACGGCTGGCTAGCACATTCTAAAGTTGGCGTGCGAAACGACACATTCGAAGGACGCGCGGCCGAGGCCAGGCCCGCCAGGCCGGCCAGGCCGCGCGGCCCAACGGGCTGCCACCTAGCGACCGCCAGGCAAGCGATTCGGAAGCGGCGTTTCGTCGCTCCGTCGCACTCACGCGGGGCTCTCCGCAAAGGTGCGAGAGAGACAAACCGCTCTTTTGGATCACAGGGCAGCGGCCGCGACGCCTCGAGCTGTCAAAGCCCTTGAGGACGACCGGCTGACCCTGCCGCGGCTTGCCGGCCCCGCTGCGGGGCTGCGGGTCACTGGGGCAACAGGCACTTGGCCTGGGATCGGGCTGCCGCGCTCGCCATTGGCTGGCTGCGCCTGGCTGCGACGCGTACAGTCCGAGGACCAAGTGGACATTTCGGACGACACGCCGGCCGGCCTCGCGAGCCACGCCACGTCCCAAGGCAGGTGCATGCATGCCGCGGTGCCGCTTCCAAGTTAATTCATTCCCCGTCGATTTTCCCCAGGTGCCGCGCGGGGCTGCTCCATTCAAACGTCGCAGCCCCGCGCGGCATCTGGCCGCCAGCCAAGCCGGCGCCCCGAACACGGCCCCGAACAGGGCCACGACCCCTCGCGCAGGCCACGCGCCAGGCCACGCGCCAGGCCACGCGCCAGGCGCGCCAGGCGCGCCAGGCGGCCCCCTTACACCCAGGCAATGCACCTGGCGACGTTAATCGCTTTCTGCAACGCTGTAACACCGCGCAGTTGGTGCAGGTCAGCAGAGCCATTCAGAAGACACGTCTCTGTCCTCGTGAGGGTGCGAGAGAGATCGAGCGACGGCGCCATCGTGTCATCGGACCCGTCGGCCGGAGAAACAGCCCCGCAGCAACAGGGGCCGCAGGGGCCGCAATTGGAAGAAACGCCGAGGGACGTCCGGCCGCCACAAAACAAGTGGCGCTTGTTGCGCGACACTGCGGCAATGACACCGCATTACAACTAGCGTTGGTGCGAACGTCAGCGAGAAAGAAGCGACAATAAAGAGAAAACGGGGAAGTTTCTAGGACGCGGATGGCTGTCGTTAAGGCAAACAAGCTTTAGGGCTCGAAGTTACGTCGACTTTGGCGCGCTCCTCTGTTGGTGTTGGTTCGCGCTGGACTGGAGAGGCCACCGCCTCACCCCGCAGCACTGCAGCGCCGCAGCGCGCACCGTCAGCCCGACGACTCCAGGATAGGCAACCCGGTTGGCTCCGGTGCAGCGCGCAGCAGGTTTTGCCTATGCTCCGTTCGGCGGGCGCTGGGCCGCCGGCCTCCTCTCCTGAACTTGAACTTGAGAGGTTGGACCGCGAACTTCGGGACCGGCCTGGCGAGCCTGCACTGCACTTCAGGGGTACGTGGCTCAGAGTATACACTAGACCACCCATTCCCGCACCCCCGATAAAAATGAGAGGAGCGTCAACTTGGATCGATCAAAATGGCTCGGCGAAATTGCCGCCAGTTGTGCCAGTTCGCGTACAGTGGGCGTGGGGAGGACGGCGAGGACGCTAACCATCGCGCCAGGACTCGGACTCGGGAGGCGGCCGGCCGGACCGGGCCTTGGCGGCTGGTTAAGGCGCTAGCGCTAGCCTCGCACGGAGAGCGCAGGCTCGATCCAACCGGTCCACTATTATGTATTCATTCCACCAGGCGGCCGCATCGTGACCGGACAACGGCGGACCGGCCCGGCCCAGACGAGTCAAGCTGGAGCGTCCCATCCCAAGGCCGCGACGTGAGTGCGAGCCCGGTCGAGCCCGGTTCGGTTGGCGACAGCAACAGCAAAGTCACGGAAATCCGCCACTCCACTGTCGAGCCGGCTGAGCCCACTCGAGAGGCTGGGTACTGGCTGGCACCAGACTGGTTCTGTCTCTCACGCCTGTCTCTCACGCCTGTCTCTCACGCCATACGGAACGACCCATGAGAGCGAGGGAGATAGAGCGACGGAGACGGCTCTAGTAAGTTCGTCAGGCTCGCGCTCGCGGTAAACAGCCACCCGCCCCGTCACGCTGTTGCAAGCGGCTCCCTACGGAGCGGTGCTAGAGCGATGTCATGGCTCTCGTATCTGTCTCTCTCTCGCGCGCGCGCTTACACTGCCCATTGGTGCGGGAGAGACAGAACGGCGAAACGCTGAGCTGTGCTGGTCGCGACGTGGCCAGAGTGCTGGCGTGTGCCGGTTGTCGGCGACACTCGTCACGTCACTATCGCTGCAAAACAAGGCGGCCGCGCCGCCGCAACGCCGCAGCATCGCGCGCCCATTGGGCCCCGCGGGGGGCGTGGCCCTGGCAGGCCGGCGTGGCCCTGGCCGGCAGCCTGGCCCGGTGGTCACCGCGAGCACCTGATTGACCAGGGCACCGGCCCACCGGGTCAGGCCCACCGAGACTACCAGCTGGCCGAGCTGGCCGGCCAACCACGAGGACGGGATTGGCGATTGCACGAGTCCGAAATGTCCTATCGCGGGGCTCGGGTTGGAGTGCGTGGATGAGGCCATGAGGCTCGGTGGACGGATTCCGAAGAGTGCTTTCGTCGCTCTGTCTCTCTCGTAGTACGGGATGGCCTGAGGGTGCGAGAGAGACGGATTCGGCCTGTTGTCCCCGTTTCAACTACCGCAGGCTGTTTTCACGGCATTGATTGACCGTCGCCAAGGTGTGCGGTGCGCGGTGCGGTGCGGCCCGGTCTTTCGGCCCGTCAAGGTGAGGCGCCTCGCATGACGTCACGAGCGTGCGTCGAGAGTGTAACCACCGCAACCACCGCACCGCGCTGCCTGGCTTACGTGACCGCACGGCACTGCATGACGCGAAGCCGACGGTAAACACTGCCGATATTTATAATCGAGTCGAGGAGAGTCGGTGTAGTCCGTTGGGCTCTGCCACAAGTCAATGGCACAACCCTCCTGGCTGCACCGACGCATCCAAGGCAGCCAAAATAGGTGCACCAGGCACTATGATGAACTCAACGCTCCAATAAAGATAAGGAAGAAATGAGGATGGGCCACTGCTTGGGACGCCACACTACACTGTCAAAACAGTCTCCCATCATTGAATTACTTCCTGAGATAATTAGACAAACATCTGAAAAACATTCTTTTAACGCTAGATTATACAAAACAGTTGACACAGATGAAGTCTTCGACTAACCATTTTAGATCAAAAGGAAAGAACGAACAGCTTTGATGGAGGCAGTTTGCAATAAACATGAACCAATCTCAGATAAGTATGTGGTTCGATATGACAACTTATCAAACCGAGTATATCAGGAGTGTACTCAAATAATTTCTTATTCATGAATGAAGGCAGTATAATAATCAATAAAGAGAGAATGTAATTTAATCAGATCACGTATGCAAGTTGAGAGCACTACTTACCGCCTTTGCAAGGGGTTCTGTGGGTGGAGTGCTGAGCACGGTAGCCAGTGATCATCTCATAATCACCAGTGTCACGGCGTACAGGGAATGCAATTTCAATAATGTGATCACAGGGCTGCATTCCCATCAAAATGCCACGGACTTTCTTCCTCTTGTCCTCGATTGACATCTTTCCCTTCATGTCTTCCACCAACTTGTCTTCAGCAATCTGACAGGCACGGTGGAAGAAATACTCCACCATGTCGAAGAAACGGGGATTTTCGGCGGTGGGCACATCCTTAAGTTTCTCGGGAATTTCGTGGGCATACCCTCTCGCCGACTGAGCTTGAACGGCGGCCGGGATAACCTTCAAGAATGTTTTCAAATCGATCTTTTGAGGCGCCGTGGCGATCTTCGTCATGGACTTGAGCTGGAACATGATGGACAGGCGGGTCGCAACTGGGCCGCACGGAGGAAAACACACGCACACACGTACGGGCACACGACCCTTGTCGCCGTGGGATTCGGGTGTGTCTGTCTGCCCCAGCCAAACCAAGACCTAAATTTGGTTTGGTTAGACGAGCAGAAACGACTCGACTCAGCTCAGCTCGGATGTGGGAACGTGCTGAAAGAGGGAGGTGGGGGGAGGTGAAAAGTGAAAGGGGAGGGGCAGGGAGGGGAGAAGGAGAAGTGGGAGAAGTAGCCCTGATGTCTCATAGCCAAGTGCGGTCCAAGAAAGATGAAAGGAAGAAAAAGAAAACCACTCCACTCAAAAACCAGCGCGAAACCTGTACCTGAACCGAAGGAAGCACAGTGTTTTTAAGACTTGACTTCTCACTTCCCATGTTTACTCGTGAAATATCACGGGTCTCGGTGCTTAAGCACTTGAACACCAGTCCTCCAAAAATGCGAAATTCCTCTCCTTTTGTTAATTTATTGTAGTAATAGATCAGAATGGACCAATTAGACCTTTAGTTTTCATAAGTGAGGTTACTGATTTCTGTGATACTAGTCAATATTTTCATGTTTTACTGAGGGTTTAAAATGAGTGAAAATGGCAGAGACTTGGCAGCTACCTTGGCAGCTTTGAAATCTCATGGTTGTCATGTCAACAGAGACTGGCTTACAGAATGTGTAAATTTTTTCCGTTCAGAAAATAATCGGGTAGGCACATTCTTTTTGTGCCAACTGACTGACTTCTATGTTCTCCGAGCATGTAAAAATCCAGTTGTTTCATATTTTGTTTTACCCATTTTTCAGTATTCTCCCAAAGATTTGGAAAAGTTTGTTTTCGATCAATGGCTACTGGGTGATCTTCGGGAAATAGCCAGCTCTGGGTCGTTACCTCCAAATCTCAGCAACATTTTGAAAACAACAGTGGAAGGAAAAATGGCTTGTCAGGTATCAGTAATGTCAGTACAATTTATTGCCCATGATTGATCTTGTAGCTCTATGATAATAATTTTCTGTATGCAGATTGAATCGTGTATCGACATTGGCCATTCAGCCTATAACCAGATGCAGAGAGTGAGGAAAGAAGATGTTGGCAATTCGCAAATTGATGAGAACAAAGAATATCAACAATCCTGGGAACCAAAGTCAAATCGTTGTCTGCAATTCACCCTCTGTGATGGGGTGCAAACAATCAAAGCTATAGAATATAAGTTTATAAGTCTCCTAAAAACAGATATGATTCCAGGACTAAAGGTAGCATTTTACAGTACTCATATTTTTGGTATCAAATCGCTGGAAAGATAATGGAAACTAGACAACTTTTGTTTATCCTCTTCTCAGATTTTACTCCATGGTCCCATCGAGTGTAGAAGGGGTGTTCTCCTGTTAGAAGAGAAACATGTAACCATTCTTGGAGGAGAAGTTGATGCATTGGCCATTGTCAATGCCTATGAAAATGAACTTGCCAAGAAACTGTAAGTTGCAGTTTAAAAAAAAAAATGTTTTACCAAATAATTTTGCATTAACTATCTATTTTTCTTTTTATTTCAGAAATATACCAGCAAATCCAGATCCTTATAATATGACAGCTCGGCCTACAGTCCCTCAAGTCCAGCCACAGCCTCTGCCTCCTCCAGCTCAACAGCCAGGACAGCAGCACCAACCACCCCAGGCAAATCAAAGAGCGCCACAGATTACTGATAACAGAAGACAGCAAAATCAACCAACACCCCATGCAAATCAACGAGTGTTGCAAATAACTGATAACAGAAGGCCGCAAAATAAGCCTCGAACTGCTAGAGCTTCCGAGCAACCCAAAAAATTAGTACAAAGTGCTCTCTCTTGGTCTAATCAACCTAGACCAGCTCAGGCCAATCCTTCCCAATCTCCAGTAGGTGACCAGTTGTCATTGTATAAGCTCGATATAGTGTTGGTGCTACAAGCAAGCAAAAGTCAACGCTATAAACTGGAATTTTTCCATGCAAAGGTTGACTTCATTGGCGTTTCCTGCATACCTAGCGCTGTTTTTGCCCACTTAACGTTGAAAACACTTCATTTATGCCATTTTCATAGAGGATTTCTAATTTCGAATTTGTAAATTACTTTGGAGTATAGAAAAACTTACAAACCTATGCTACATCGAGCTTATACTGTATTTGTAAGTTGATCTTAGAATGAATTCTTACTTTGCTTCTTTTCAGTCATTAGAATTTGCTGGGAATGATGAAGACTTTATGAACATTCCTCTGGATCCTGCAGATTGGGCAGAGGAAATGAATTATGAAAGTGCTCCAACTCAGAGAAGAAAACCAGATGAAATAAATTCAGCCAGCAAATCAAGTACATCAAACTGGGGAACAGGAAATGCTAACAGATCAACTTGTGCAACCTCCTCAGCTGCTGAATTTTTGAATGAATTTGACGAAAGTGATGAAGCTTTGCTATTACAAGCAGAAGCAAGCTTAGTGGAAAGCTCTGTGTCCAGCTTAGCTCAGAATGAAATCAAAGGCTTCAAATCTAATGCAACACAAAAGAATGCAGGTTCTAGTGTCCCTATTATTCAGAAGAATACTAAAGAAGAAGCTGTTTCTTCTAAAAGGTTGGCTTCATCTGCTCTTCCTGAAGAGTGTCTGAGAAAACCACTTTTTGCAAAGCGCAGAAAAGAAACTTCGTCATCTCAAGAGGTCACATCTAGTACTGATGCAACTAGTACTGATACAAGTTATCTTGCACCTGACCTATTAGATTTTGATGACCCCGCAGAGACATCGAACTCCATTCCAATAAGTTTACCTCCTCAGCCGTTTGTTTATCTTTCGCAAATTAACCAAAGTAAGGTATCTGTTATATATAGAGTGAAAGCAGCTGTGATAACTGTGATAGAAAAGCTTTCTATTTCTCAAGATAAATGGAAATTGTCTGCTAAAATAAGTGATGGATCTGCTAATGTAGTTGTAAAATTTTCAAATGAGGTGAGTAAAATTATAAATTGGGGAAAAAGAGACAGCAGTCTTCTCTTTCTCATCTCTCTTGTACCATTAAATAAATTTGTCTTATCTTTGCCTATTTTGTTCAAGGTTCTAGAAGAATTGTTTGGAATGACTGCAGTAGCACTAAATGAAATGAAAAAGGAGGTAGTTAAACAACCCGAGAAAAAAGAGATAATGAAAAAGGTGGTCATTTATGTACTCAATGTACTCAATCCACTCAAGTACACATCATGTTGACATTACAACCCTTTTATCTGTTTCTAGAAACTGGAAAAAGCTCAGTGCCGTTTAATCAATTTGAATTGCTTATTGGACCTAAAGATGTGTGGTGAAGAACAGCCGCTGGTAGTGGGATTTGAAGATATTTCATCATCAACCATCTCTGCATTGAAAAACAGACACACTTTGTTAAACAGCTGATGGCAGATTAAATAGTTTAAACGAGTTTTAGTTTTAACAGAATAAACAACATACAATATTTTATTTGTTTTGAACATGTATACATAGTTAACATGTTGTATAAAACCAATGACAAGTAGAGTTTTCATTGTGGTCAGAAACTGATGTTTCCCACATTTTCTGATGACCTGAGTCTTACAACAGACTAAGGGTATTTTCAGTCATTAGAAGTCACAAATCGGAAGAAAATTCAAAACACAAATACACCAGAGTACTGTTAAGAAATAACATTAATTATGAATTGGTGCCAAAACCACCACTACTCTTAATTTAATTTCATTACGATAAATCAAGTTAACATAATCTTGGTCCTTTCGCTCTCAACTTGACAGGATAGAGCTTTTTGGTCAGATAAGTATGCAACTTTTAACAACCAAAGAGATCACACAATGCCATTACCAGTAAATGGAACAAATATGAGAACAACTATACAACAGGAGTGTGTTCTGAGAAACCAACCCAAAGATGAAACAGAAGAAAGTATTCTATGCACACCCACATGTTTAGATGGATTGGTTGCAAATACATGGCTTCAAAAAGGACTGGCTCAGGGCTAGCAATAATGTCGTTGTCAGAATGGTGCCATAGGTCCGCCCTCTACATTTACCTGTGCGCAGCTGGGTGGAAGTCCAAACACTGTTCACAGATGGACAACTGTCTTAAATTGCAAGGCAAATCTGATTTCCTATTAAAATAGTGTTTGCCAATATCCATGTGGATTATTATGCAGGAAACTTAAAAGCTAATAAATGCACAGAATTCTTAACAGTACTACATGGCAGGATTGGTGTCATAACTAAATTAAATAATAATAAAATAGAATAACAAGTGGCATCAAAAATAAACTCATCTTACAGTAATCTTACACAGCAACATGGAAGAAAGTCATTGTGGTTTGCAGTGGCGGGCAACATATCTTTCTACATCCACACAGAGCTGCAAACTATGTGCAACCTAAAGTGGAAAACATCTTTAGTACATCCATTCAAACCACTACCAACAATATACTATGATGACTTTCAGAATGTTTTGTTACAATTCACCAAATAAACTTCAACGGGCATGTGTAAAACAACAAGACTGAATTTTGCAGACTAATAAAAAGAAACAATTATAAAAAGTTACACCCATAAGGTCAAAGGAGGTGTCAATTAAAGAAAATTTTGCTAGACTTTTAAAACAATAGATTGAGTAAAAAATGATGATACTTCATAAGTAACAAAACTTGAGAGAGACAAACATTTTGAATGTTGCACCAAATATTGTTAAGAAGACAACAAATTTAAAATACGTTACAACAAACAAATTAATTCCATTGGAAACACCAGCCAAAATCACAGGCAGGCTGTCTTTCATACTCATTCAAAACCTCAACTTACAGGTAATCATGTAGAACAGACAACAAAATAAAATTAGCATGTACAGTATGACTTTCTTCACACCTTGAATTTAATACATACAAACACACAAACAAACTTAAAAAGAAAACAAGCACACACAGTAGTCAGTACATTTTGTTAACCAATAGAGAATAGAAAAAATGTAATGTGGAACATACAATAATTACAACGCTTGCAGCGAACACTTGAACACTCCTCTTATCTAAGCCCCCCCAGGATTACAGAAAAAATAACACTTTGCAAGATGGAAAGCATCAAAACAATTGAAGTGAAGGAATGTGCAATATTAAAAAAACAGGGGATATTATCCATTAACTTAAGGTACAAAAGGCACAGAAATAAGAACCAAGGGAAAGTAAAGACAAAAGAGAGTACTCGAATCAACCATGATCACAGACATACTTTGTAACAAATTTAGATTTCATCTACCAATGAAGAATGTGTCATAAGAACGATAAGCCTTATTAACTCGCATTGATACCTCTGATTCCTACCTCTAATAACTACTGTATGCTGCATTCTAATTGTCACAAACTGCGGGAATGATTTTAAATTTCTCTTGAAGTATTGTCACTTGAATGAGAAACAATTCACCTAAAAACTCTTATTTAATCTACAAAATGTTTCCTAAACACTGCCTAGGTTCCTAAATGTACAAAATTTATCACTCTTCTATTCATTTGCTGTACATATCCACAATGACATAAGTAAGTGTACAAAAGTACAGGCACCATCTTAATAACCATGTAGTAATAAATATAAGTCATTATACAATCAAATATACAAGCCCGTATGATTAATTTTAACGCAGTTGGAAAGCATCTGTTAACAGCCAACAGGTCTTTAGTTAAGTAACTGATAAGCAATAAATCGATAAGGCTTCACACATACACATTTTCATGTAATAAATTGTTCTCTTCCAAGTAAAAAAGAAAATGGCACCCAGTTGTTAAGAGCTGGACTGCCTTTAATTTCTCTTCCATAAAGGTATAAGAGAAACGAGCTTAGATGTAGCTAAACTAGACATATGTTTACCTAAATTTCTAGTGAAATAGAAGTGCTGTGATATGAAATGAATATGTAAGAGTTCGGAAGACAGTCTAAAGTGGTCCTTCATACAAGACCAATACTCGTTAAAATACCACAAATGAGACCACTACTAAAAGGTCTACGGCTATGAAGACAGCTTGGACCAATAAGAGATATGTCCAGTACAGAAAAGAAGCTGTCAGCTTTGAGACTAGCATTTGTATGACAAATGTTACAAAGGTTACTACACTACCATCCAAGCACTTTAAAAATGCATCTATTTTAGAAATAACTAACTATCTAGGATAGACCTTAAGGGCACAGTACATGAGGGACAAGAGGCATTGAATTAGTACTGTACATATTAAATGTGAGATACACCCAAACAAACAAGTTACCAAAATGAAGTAAATTATAACTACTAATCCCAAATCAGTAATAGGATAGTTCTCAGATTTTATTAGTGACCACAATTTGATATGCAATGAAGAGGGAAAATTTAGAATTTTGACTCAGAATTTTAAGGGTATCTATAATGAGTTTGCTTGCCATTTAAATTTACTATTCATGACCCACATCTGACCTATGCTTCCATCACAAGGTCTAAGGAGAGGCATGGAGGTGTCCCGAACATCTGGTTTTGTGAGACACTGTCCTGTATTTACATGTTTTATAGTTTGAGCCTGAAAGTAAATATAAAAATAAATTAGCAAATTGAAAGAAAATAGAATACACAACAATAATTATATCATACATACATTTTTATCGTAAACCCAAAGTTGGTTTCCACCCATACCATGACATCGCACAAGTTTAACAGGCCCTTCAGGACTGGTTGCGTCAAGACAATTGTCATCAGACATGATCTGTTGGCGACGAGTGTAAGCAAACACCTGAAATAAATGATAGCAAACATTAAAGCACATGCAAAAAGAATTATTGTTGCTGCCATGATCACAAGTAAAATACCCCAAAAGGGTCTTGGCTCTTGGTGTATGTCTTGGTTATACAGAAAATTAATTAAATAGGAACAGTAAAAATCACATTGAATATCAAAACTTTAGCCTACCTGATTACCACCGAGGCCATGACAGTAGCTCACTCCAAGATTTTCACCACTTTTATGGCCCATTGTATCCAAACAGTTTTGAGTTTCTACATTGCGAACCTAAAAAATATTGAAAAGAACAAATATTTGTCAGTTCATGGGCAAGATGAGCTTGGTATAATAAAAGCATGTCCATCAGTGCTCACCTCTCCTAAATGATAGTAATCAAGAGGCATTTGTGACTCAGGGTACACATTTTCTAGGTACCAACGGAAACTCTTGCATTTTAATTTGTGACGTAAAGATTTCCTCTGAGTCACATCTCCCACATCTACACTGCGGGCTCCTAAAACCAATAAAAAAGAAATGATCACATAACTGAGACATGATCTCCAAATTAGAAATAAAGTAAACCTCACTTAACATGCAAGTAATCAAAAAGTTCCTTTGCCCCTTCTAAAATTTAAGTCAAAGCGTTTGCTGACAAAGGCCCAACAACATTGTGGGTATGTGGGTGCTTAGCCCATTGGTTAGTCAAAAATTCTTACAAACACAAAAGCAGAACTATCCCCACAATGAAAAAAGGTAAATAGCAGAAGCACTTCTCACAATACTCTCACACAGTCGTTAGTCCAGTTAAAATGTACTATGTAAGTCAAGTTGATGTTTCTCAACAATTCCAAAAAAACATGCTAAGTTTTCAAAATTAAAAGTCATTCTACATAAGGGACAAACACAAATCAAAGCAAAAAAAAAAATCACGATGTGAACTTAATTTACACATTTTCATGAACAACAGGTGTGTCTAACCTGGGTTAATGCTGTAGTAAAACTCTTTCCATTCATCCAACCACACCTCTGCCAGACGCGCATTATTATGGTTGACAATTTTAGACGTTCCACCAGGGAAGGTATAAGGAGTAGACTTGCGAAAAACATGGCCAACATGAGAGCATGTTGCTATTTCCACTTGACCTCCACACATCCAAACCTAAGCACCACACACCATACACCAGACAAAGCACATGCAAATTAATAACATGTTAAATTTATTTTAAAATACAGATAGACAGAGATAGACTTTTTCAGGATAGTTTTAGTTAAAAAGGGACATGAGAACATTAGATTGCACACTATAAGGGCATAGAGGCATCAGAAGGTCAAAAAAAAAAATTAAAAAAATGTGAATTTTGCAAATTTAGGAGAACCCAAGCAAAGGGAACAACTTCATGAGAAAAGAGAATGTGAGAAACTGTAAATGTTTATTGTAAGGAACCCAGGTTAAGGAAAATGAGATCCACCCCTAATTTCTTGTTAAAGAGGAAATAGAAAAAAAAGAGCGACAAAAGCACAGAATTAATCGGAACTGATTACATTTACACCCATTCCTTTCAGGACCAAATCCATAAACAACTTCCCCAACATAACAGCCCTTCAACAAACAAGCAGAAGAAACACAAGTAAGGTACAATGGTGTTAGAAATTTGGTTAGGTGTCTTGGTTAGTAACAATTGTTACAGTTTGCTTTAAACAACAACAACAAACCACCCAGGCCACAAAGCAAACACACAACACATGTGTGAAACCCGATTTCTACCTGGATTCATGGCGTAATAAAAATCTCGCCATTCGTCCATCCACACTTCAGCAACTCGGGCTGCATTGTGCAGGACAATTTTGGACACACCACCCGGGAAAGTATATGGAGATTTGTCCCGAAACACGTGTCCCACATGTGAGCACGGAATTATCTCCAAAATCCCACCACACTGCCACACCTGAAATTAACTCTGAGATGACATTTCCACAAGCAACAGCAGGCCAAATTTAATTAGGAATACTGCATTTCAATCTTCTTTTACTACTTTTTTATATAACACATACAAATAACTGTCTTTTGATTTAAAAGAAAAAAGGACAAAATGAAAATTAATGCCCTTATAGTCAAGTCAATACTGAAGAATCAAAAAAGCAGTATAAAACAGGAAAACTGCTGGAAAAAGTGAAAGAGGTTACAAAAATTTAAATGGTGAAGACAAACTTACCCTGAATGACATTTCAAGATTTTCTCCTCCCCAGATGTCCATTCCTTCATCGTAGGATCCAAGATGATAGAAATAGTCTTTGTCAATAGAGAAAAGGCCACCCGCCATGGTTGGGGTGCGAAGAGGAGCTGTGCGATCATTGCCACGTCTTTCCATCTCTCTTTGTGGAACTCTATACCTGTTTAATTAAAGCAATAAATTGAGAAGTTAGTTTGAGAATTACTTGAGGAAATTTTTTCTTGGTTGAAATTATTATATTAAGTCTGACACACCATCTGAAGTTTAATTTCCAGTTAAATCCTCCCCATGTCATATCAGAAGCACTGATGTACTCAAATGTGTCATCAGCTATGACGTCTATAATAGGACAGGCCACTGTTGTCCTACAAAGGAAAAAATAACAAAGTAGAGAAAGTTTATAGTATAGTAGGTCTACAAAAGAATAAATAAGCTGTGAGTGGTTTCTGATAATGCTATTGAAATAGATTCCGCATACCTGTCTTCTGCTATGCGAGCAAGTAAAGGCTCTAACCAGCCCTCTGTACATTCACAATGTGCATCAAGGAATGTGATGACTTCTCCTTTGACATGTTTGGCTCCAAGCAATCTAGCACGAATCAAGCCGGAGCGTTTTTCAGTACGGAATACGTGCACTGGGACAGGCAACTTGGCTACATAATCCTCCAATTGCCTTCCTAAGTGTTCTGTAAAGAATTTTTTTATGCATTTTTAATTAAGATAAATTGTTTCTAGTTACTAATGCAGCTAGTACTGAGATGTACATTTCAATTTATATGAAAGTTTCAAATAGTGAGTCCAAAGATATTAGGTAGATTACCTCTTTCACTGGCATCATCAACAAGAATTATTTCCCGTAGTAAGGGTCTTGGACTACGATTGATAACAGACCATACTGTTCTCAAAAGAGTGGACCAGGCTTCATTGTGAAATACTATGACAATTGAAGTGGTGGGGAGAAGTTTTGGATAGTTCTTGCTTTTGCACCTGGAAAGAAGAATAAAATTTATTAAGTATGAACCACTGAAGTTGAATTTCTGTATAATACAAAATAATGATGCAGAATCAGTACCCTTCTAATCTGACATCAGCAAGAGAACGATTGAATGATATCATATCACTGGCAAGCAAGTTAAATTGATTCAACTTGAATTTTTCTTTCATCAAAGCTTCTTTTTCTGGTGGAATTGTAACAGCCTTTCCATTCTCCCCTGGCATGCCAGGGTTTTCTGGAACTGGAGGTACCACTCTCCATCTTCGTAACTGTGATGGTTTGTATGTTTTATCTTCTTCAGCCTTCCCTCTGTCGTGTAACTGTTCATACAAAATTCCTCGGCCCTTACTATTACTTAAAATAGCACCTCCGTCGGAATGCAATGCAGAAGCTGATCCCGCAGCAGCATTAATTTCATTGTCTTTACACTTCCAGCCGCCTCCACCTAAGCAGTCTGAGTAAAAGGCAAGTAGTGCCACATCTACTAAAATCCAAACCAAGGAGGTAATTAAAATGATTTTGCATGTATGAATGCGTACTTTTGTTCGAAACATGATAAAAGTAGGCTGCTATTTCCTAGCGCTAGAACTGATATGCAAAGACTGACATTGATAAAAGTGTTCAGCTTGTGTAAGAGTTGGTTTGAAAGCACAAAAATCCATGTGATGAGCTATGCACTTGTAGAATTAATCTTCATTTGATCTGGGTGATATGCTCCAATTTCTTCTCACAAGCTGGCTTGTCAGCATGACTAATTTGGTGATATGTTGCCCATCCTGAAAGAAGCAAAATTATCTAGCATTAATCATCCACACATCAAATCACATTCCAGAGACGTAAAATAATACATCAAGAGCTGTAAATAAAACTCGACTAATGTTTGGTGAACTATGAGGACATTTAAGGCTAAGGAACAGGATGCAAGATGAGAAAAATAAGCACACAGATGACAATTTGTAAAAAAAATCTTGGGGGGGGGGCGGGAATAAACTAAACAAACTTGCCAACAGGCGACCTGACAGACAACACACAGACAGGCCCCCAAACTAAACGACCCGCGGTCGCGCAGGGTCTGGATTCGGCCCTTAAAATCCAGTCGCGACCTACCGACGACAGCGCGTTCAGCGCAAGGGCATTTGGCGGGGCGAAAAAGGGAAAACCGAGCCGGCAGCCGCCCTCGGTCCTTGTTCCTTGCGCGAGGCGAGAACACCTAGGCCAATAACCTCGCAGGACCTCAACGCCTCCTCCATGGCGACCTGGCCGGACCTGCGCAAGGGGCAGGAGCAGGGACGCCGAGGATTCCAGAGCATCGGCCGAATCCACGCCACAAATGCATCACGGTGCACCGAGGGGTTGCAACTTACACCAGGAGGAGCCAGGATGGATTTTGACAACCTTGCTGTCACTTCTCTCCAGCAGGGCGCACTACGTCTACAAGTTGTTTGGCGAAGTCGCCGCCAGATGGCAGCACCGCGCGAGCTTAGCGCACACACAGCTGCCGCACACGTCAGCGGCTGTGTGTGAGAGCGACTTGCGGAGAGAGGCAGAGAGAGGGAAATGTTGGGACACATTGGTGTGTGTGCGCGTGATTACCTATAGGGTACCTGCAGGGCATCTATACTTGTGCCCCACGCCTCATAACGCTACTCCTGGTGCGTTTTCTATTCAAAGGGGAATTACCAATCAACCCATTTGCTCCCTTTGCCACTCCGTACGTAGGCTGAAAGTGCCACTTTGCCCTCCCCCCCCCCTTTTAGGCCGATCCTGGATCCATCCTCAATTAATCACGGTTCTCGGTTTTGGTCTCGTTCGGCGTGTCACGTGGCGAGGCGCGCCAAATTTCCGTTTTATCGAGCGGCACCTTTATCACTCGCAGTGCCACCGCTACAACAGCCACGAGCAGCTACGCGGCGCCGCGGGGAGGCGGGGGCAAGGCGGAGGCGAGGCGACGTTGCACTCTGCCAGAAAACCGGCCATTCTCAACGATGCCGGGCGTGGACAGTGGACGAGACAGTGGACTTCCCCGGCAGGCCGCTCCCGCCTAAGGACTCGCCCTGCTGCCCTGCACCCCGGGGTCCCGTTTTCCATTCGGTGTAATCTTAATCCATTCCCTGAAGCTCGCGTCGAAGCACCCATCCGGCCGGGCTGGCCAGGGCTGGCATGGCGCCACTTCGCGCCACTTCCGTTCCAAGGGATGCAAATGAGCAACCACCAATACACGAAAAGCAGAGGAGGCCGCCGCTGGACCGACTGGTGTTCGGAGTCCGGCCCGTCCGGCGTGGCGCCATGACGCGGGCCGCAGGCTGCTCGCTAGCTGCTCGCTGCAGGCGGGGCGGCGTGGCGGGCGAGGCGGCGCAGGACGGCAGGATGAGACAAGGCCCTTTCTCCAGGGGACGGCGGGCCTGGCGGGCCGCGGCGTAAATCACTTGTGTTTCGACGCGTGCAGGCGGCGCAGCGCGGCACCGCAGGACAGCCGAGACGGAGACGGAGATGGCCCAGAGGACGACGTCGAGGATGAGCATGGAGGGGAGAAGGTCACAGCCACTTTCTCGGGATCGCTGGCCCCGGCAGCCCCGGCCACCCCGGCGCGGCACGCGGCACGCCATCCGTGATGTAATTTTTTCGCCCTTGCCGCCCGGCTTGCCGCCCGGCGAAGATGCGGCCGATGCAGCCCGTATGGCAGCGTGATAACGCACAGCCCACGGCACTTCCCCGACGGCCTGACCCTGCCGGCGTCCGAGGGGTCAGTGCCCTCCGGCAGCGGTGCGCGCAACTCGCTTCTCGCGCAGTCTGCAGGGCCGGCAGGGCCGGAGGGAAGGTTTGTTGTTTTTTCGAGCGCTCCAGGCTCCAGAGTGCAGGCGTAGAAGTCCAAAGCCGCTCACTCCGTCGCCCTCCCCACGGTGCCGTTCTATTGTATTTCGCTTTGGAGGGTGGCGGCGCCCGCCTCGCCCGCCTCGCTCGCCCCGCTTGCCCAGCGAGAGTGGCGTGGGTATTGCTCTGCAGCTCTGCGCTTGTCTCGCTACTGATCGTTTCTCACGAGAAACCCCAACAACGGCCTGCCTGCCGCCTGCCGTATGCATCTGCCGCGAGCAGGCCAACGCCAACAAGGCCGGGACGTTGGTGCCGGGCCGCGGCAAGCCAAGCCACGCCCTGCTGGCAATTGCAATCGCATCGCACGACCGTGAGGCAACGACGAACACTCGCCGAGCACTCGTGCGGGCCTGCCACGGCCTGCCACGGCCTACGGGTACCCAGGGTACCGGTGCGGTGAGTAGCTGAGTAGCTGACGAGCGTGGAGTGCGGTGATGAGTACAGGAGATGATAACACCAAGGGCTTCGCGATGACGATGATGACGATGACGCACTCGAACGAGGTGCCGGCCGAGGACGCCGCCTGCGGGACGCGGGCCGCCGCACAGTGCACGTAGCGCTAACGGTGCTCCAACCGGCGCGCGAACTGTCATCGAGTCGATCAGATGGATTCCACTTCGATCACACGACGATGCTGCGTTCGGCGGGCGCTGGCGGCGGGGCACTAGGGACCGTTGTGGCACCAGACGACGACAGCAGGCACTAGATACCCCCACAATCACACGCATCCTAACACGCACACACGCACTAGCAACCGTCGCGGCAGCAGACGACGTCGGCACGCACTAGACACCCCCACAAAGACACGCACACACTCACATGCACTTGGATGACACTCCTAGACGCACAGACAGGCGCACCGTACCGGTGTGCGTACGACGGCGCACCGGTATGCCAAGGCGGGGGCTCGGCGGTGCGGACGGTCCGCGACGTTGCCTCTCGCGCGCGCCGTGGCCAAGTGCCCCGCCGGGCTGGCGCGTGCCTCCCCCTCCCTCACCGCCCCCCGCGGACCGCCGCAGCGTGGCCTAGGCCCGCGGCCCCGTTGCCCCGCTGCCCCGCTGCCCCGCCACTGGGCCGCTGCGAGGCTGCCGAGACCCCCACCGCATTCCCTACCTGTGCTCACGACCCCTGAAAATGATCGCAGCTCGCGCATTGTTTTTGAGTGTGTCACGGTGTCATGATCTTTGGAAAGTATGATTGTTCGGGCCTCCCACCGGAGGCACTCGCTGCGACTCGCTGCGACTCGCTGCGACTCGCTGGCACCGGTGCCCTGCGCGAACCGCGGGAAAAGCCCGTCCAGTGACCAGGACCTGCCAGGGCCTGCCAGGACCGGGAAAGCGGTGCCGGCCGAGCGGCCAGCGGGTGGCGGGGTGGCGGGGTGGCGGCCCGGAGCGCCTGCGAACGCGGCGCAGGCAGCACCGCCACGCCGACGAGCTCGGCGGGCCGGCCTACCCCGCCGACTGCAGGCGCTAGGCCGCCGCAAGCGCCGCACGGGCCGCAAGCCCTGCGACTCTGTGACGACACTCCAGCAACCGCAGTAACGCACTAGTCCGCCCCCTCCCCGCCAAACCGTCGCCCGTGAAATGGCGTAATTTCCCCCTCCCCGCCCCCTGCCGCTCTTTGACGCCGCCATTCCAGCGAGGTGCGACTCGATTTCGCCGCCGCCGCAGTCTTCTCCCCGGAGGTGGCCGTCGTCGTCAAGAGGGAGATGCCCCGGAGAAGCCCAGCAGACTGATTCGGAGATTCAGTTTAGTCGCTCCGCCGCTCTCGCACCTCAACAGGACGCCCCACGAGTGCAAGAGAAACAGGGCGACGAAATAACGACTCTCGGAATCAGTCTGCAGGCGACGCTTCGCGGCTCCTGCGAGGCAGAGCGAGGTCCCCGCGGCGACGCCGAGGACGACCCGCGCGCAAATCGTCGGCGTCCTGGCGCCACTATCGCTGCTAGTGCCGTGGCAGTGCCGTGGCAAGGGTACGGAGGCCAGCAGGGACAGGGCCAGAGGACCGCTGCCAGGCCAGCCGATGCCCCATTCCCGCGAAAGTTGCTGGAAACCGCTTCCTGCTGCGCTGCACTGCACTGTCCCCGCGGCCGGCCCCGGCCCGCCCCGCCCAGCCCCGCCCAGCCCCGCCCAGCCCCGCCCTGCAGGCCCGGCTGCACTTTGCGCATTTAGCTCAGGACTGCGGTCGGTGTCGCTGGTCGTTTCGTTGCTCCCGGCGGCCAGGGCAGGGTGGAGGGCAGGGTGGAGGGCAGGGTGGAGGGCAGGGTGGAGGGCAGGGTGGAGGGCAGGGTGGCATGGTTCGCCCGCCTCGCGCAGCATCAGCATCCCTCGCATCGCATCGTCTGGCAGGCCGCTGTTTGTTTGGCCCGGCCGGCTGGCCGGCCAACAGGCCGACAGGGTTTGGGTTGGAGCCTGGCCGGCCTGGCCGAGGAGCCGGAGCCCGAACAGCCGGCGCAGTCTCATTCGGAACAGGGCTTCGTCGCTCTGTCTCACTCCGCGGCTCCCGCGGGACGGGACGGCCCACGAGTGCGAGAGGGGCAGAGCATCGAAAGCGCGCGCTGCCCGGAATCAGCCGGCAGTAACACGGCCAACTCCTCGTTTCATTCCACTCGGCCCCCCGAGGCCCCAGACGAGGCCCCAGCACCGCGCATTCATATTCACATTCGCATTCCCATTGAACGCGCCGCGCGCCGCATCGGCAGCGGGAAACACGTTCGCGGTAACTGGAGTAGCGTGCCAGCCTGCCGGCTTGGCTTCCCGGCCGTGCACTTCGCGTCCAACATCCACCCACGCCTACACTGAAGACTAGCACACTGCCGGGCCCCGAAAACGGACGCACGGCGAGTCGTCGCTCCGTCTCTCGCAGCCATTCGGCACGCCTCGTGAGTGCGAGTGAGAGAGAGAGAGAGAGCCAGAGCGAACGAGGAAAGCTAGTTCGGAATCGCACTGCTCGCTGCAAGCCGGAGGCGCGCGGTGAGCATCGCCGTTTTTATGTCTACGGCAATCTCAAAGGGGCATCCGCGGGTCAAACTGGAGAGCAAGCTGCAAAAGCGGCAACCGGGAGGGGGAGGGGGAGGGGGGTCGTTTCGCTCGCTCCGGGAGGCTTTGTTCCGGACTTCCCTGCAACGCTATACCGCGCCAGCCCGCTACCGCCAGCCAGCGCTACCGGGAGGAAGTGAGTCGCGGTGGGCTTCGGCTCCAGGCCGCTCCAGGCCGCTCCAGGCCGCTCCAGGCCGCTCCAGGCCGCTCCAGGCCGCTCCAGGCCGCTCCAGGCCGCTCCAGGCCGCTCCAGGCCGCTCCATCCCGCCCGGTGACGTGGCGCTTCCAGGCGCCCCCCTTTCGCAAGAGTGTGATGATGCTGGATTGTCCCACTTTGGGCGAATTTGTCACGCAGCGCTGGCAAGCGGGACCGGACCAGCCAATGAGCATGGGCAGCCGAGTTAGAGGCACTCGCAGTGGTTCTGCAGCGTTCGACGATGGGCACTCACACACACACACACACACACACATATATACATGCACACACACACACTCACGCTGTGTCCGAGTAGTTGGCGCTGTCCGAGTAGTTGCCGCTGCCAGGCCTAACTGTACAGACAGACCGCTGGCCAGCAAGGTTTATGAGTCGGGCATGTCGACCCGATTTCAATT